GCAGGGCTGGGCAGATTGGAACCAGGAGCCAGGAACTTCTGGACTTCTCCCAAGTAGGCACAGGGGCCCAGCCACCTGAGCCATCGCCACTGCCTCTCATGATGTATGTGGGCAGGCAGCTGGAATTGGGAGCCACAGCTGGAGGTTGCGCCCAGGTACTCGAATGGGGAGTTCTGACCACTAGGTCAAACACCTATCCCTAATATACAACTATTTGTTGAAGAATTTGTAGTTCAAGATTTGCTTTTTGTTATTTGAACAGTAAAGTTACAGAGAGTGGAGGAGGGAGAGAGGGATCGTTGGTCTGCTAGTTCACTCCCTAGATGGCTGCAGTTGGCTGGAGTTTGCTGGACGAAGCCAAAGCCAGGAGCCAGGATCTTGGCTCTGGCTGCAGGTCTCTCAAGTGGATACAGGATGCCAAGCCTTTGGGCCAGCCTCTGCTGCTTTCCCAAGCACATTAACAGCCAGGACCAGCATCCACATGGGATAGCAGCATTGCAGGCAGAAGCTGAACTCGCTATTTCCAAGCAAAAACATGGACAGGGGTTCTCCCACATGGGTTCACGGTCCCAAGGACTTGGGCCATCGTTTTCTGCTTTTCCAGGCCATTAGCAAGGAGCTGGATTGGAAGTGATGCAGGTGGGATATGACTCTGCACCCATCTGGGATGCTGGTACCACCCACTGGCCCCCAAATCGGTTATTGTGTTGCTGAAGAATTATTCATTCTAGTTGTAGATTTAACGAAGCCACAAGTGCCTCCCACCACCACCTCGACCCACTTCCTCTTCCTGGGTATGTAGACAGCACACTGTCCTTGGATATCTTGTTGCTGTGGCTTCTAAGTGTACATTTCTGTTGCTGCACAGGAAGAGGGAAGAGAAAGTAGGGACAGGAGTCCCTGAGGGAGGGGATAGGGAGCAGAGGCAGGACGTGAATTCAGTCAGAAAACTGCACACAGAGAGCTCTGCGCGAGGACCCCCGGCTCGCAGAGCCCAGGCCTGGAGCAGCACGAGCTCTCCAGTGGCCTCTGTTCAGGTCCCAGCTGTCCCGCCCACTGCTGGCTGCCTTGCTTTCCCCATCTGTACGAGTTCTGGGATTGTATGAGTTAACACGTGTGAAGGGCTTCAGATTGATCCCGGTCAGCTTCCCACACGGGTTTAAGATATTATAACCGAGTTAGTCGACAGAGGGTAACTACGGGGCAGGCATTTGACCTGGGAGTTGAGGTACCAGTTAGGGTTCCTGGGTTCAAATCCTGGCTCTGGCTTCCTTCTAAGGTCGCACCTCTCCGCCCACCCCCAAAGAAGGCAGCAGTGATGGCCAGAATCTGAAATCTCTGGCTCTGTGACAGAGCACCGGACTGGTTGCCCAGCTCCTGCCTGCCCTGTGGGCACTGGGGAGTGAACCAGCTGGTAGGAGGTGGTTTTCCGATTAATACAGGAAACAACCCCAAAGGTACAGCATGGTTGAAGCTGGGGAGAGGGTCCCGGTGAGGTCATCTGGGCCCTTGGTTTTCAGTGCAAGGGACCCAATACCGAGTGTAGGGGAGGTGGGTTAGAGTCCTTCTTGGTCCCTTGCTGGCTTGTGTGTGCAGGAAATGCCCCCTCCCTGTGTCCTAGGATCTTGCTTTTTGAGCCTCCCATGTGCACTGGTAGCTGAGCCGCGTGGTCCCAGACTCCCAGAACTGGTTGTCTCTCAGTCTTGCCTATTATTGTGATGATGGGTTTCCACGAGTACCCAGAAATTCCAGCTGGGGCACCCTGTCACGCTCACTTCTGCAAGGGTGGAGCTCGGACCCCGTGCTGTGAGGTGAGGTGCCTTGCTTTGAGTTCTTTACAAAACCATTTTCAGTTTTGCCGGCCGCCACCCTTGGCAAGTCTCTTCATGTTCTCAGCTTTCACTGCCTTGATCAGGATTGCGGCGAGTGGAATCCAGGGCAGCTCTGGCTCCCCACGTATGCAAACTGCCCCTAGACCCTGCAGGGTTCTTGCTGGTGGCAAGAGAGGGTTCTCTTTTTTTCTAGAGATTTATTTGTTGGGAGCTGGTGCAATGGCTCAACGAGCTAATCTTCCACCTTCAAGCACCAGGATCCCAGATGAGTGCTGGTTCATGTCCCAGCTGTTCCACTTCCCATCCAGCTCCCTGTTTATGGCCTGGGAAAGCAGTCGAGGACGGCTCAAAGCCTTGGGAGTCTGCACCCATATGGGAGACCCAGAAGAACCTCCTGGCTCTAGACTGGAACAGCTCCTGTCATTGTGGCTACTTGGAGAGTGAACCAACATTGGAAGGTCTTTCTGTCTCTGCTCTTTGTAACTCTTGCCTTTCAAATAAATAAACAAATTGATAAATTTCGAAAAATTTTCGAAATATCTAAGGCCTTGAATCATCCTATGTTGCTTTCGCAGGCCATAAGTAGAGAGCTTGATCAGAAGTGGAACAGCTGGAATTAGAACCAGTGCCTATGTGGGTTGCTTTGATCTGTCTGAGGCTTAACTTGCTACACCACAGCACTGGTAACTCTGAGAAACATCTTGTTTGCTTCAGACTTAAAGGATGGGCTCCAGCAGTAAGGACTTGGTGTTCTGTTGTGGCTACCTGGACAGGGACATTCTGCTCCACCTGTTTGTGTAACAAGTCTGTTTTTCCATCCTGCCCTCTCCACCTCCTCCAGTTGTGCTGCTCTTTAGCTGACCAGGTGTGGTCCAGACTTTGATGGGACTTGGCTAGGGGTGTCCTTCCCATCCCAGCAGAAGAGGCCCAGAGGGTTAAGCAGTTTGCTTCAGGCTACCCCGGCTGGGTGGGGCTTGTGGTGCAGCTGTTCCTCTCATCTGAGAGGCAGACCCTGCCTCCTGTCCTTTGGTCTCCTCTTATCTCATTGAATGCAGCTGCTGCCTGCTCACCTCTCCCTGACCCTGTCCTGTCTGGAAAGTACCTTGTGAACCCAGCCTGTGGGATGCCAGGCTTGGTACAGGCGTCTACTATGGGGTGGATTGGCAGATCCTGGCTTCCTTCAGTGGCTGGATCCTGGTCCTGTCACCTACTGGTTACTGGGTGTCAGGTTATTTTCTCACCCATCCCTTCCAAATGCCTCCATCCCCGGTCAGTCATCCTGTCTGTTCTTTGAAATGGACACAATCCTGACACCCACCCTCTCACCAGCAAACATTGTCTAAAGGTCCGGGGCAAGTGCCAGGTTTGGGGGCGGAAAAATGTGTACAAGGATGCCCCCTTGTGGAGAAATGAAACCCACAGTCCAGGAAGCACGCTTGGCTTCATCCGGCTCTGGCACAATAGAAAATCAACAACAGGGAGACAAAAAGAAATTATGAAAAAGGCCATGAAGTTAACTAACATGCTTCTGAATGACTAATGTGTCGTGAGGAAATGAACATCAAGAACCTTCCTGAAGGGCCCGGCGCGGTGGCGCAAGTGGTTAAGTCCTCGCCTTGCAACCCCGGGATCCCATATGGGCGCCGGTTCTAATCCCGGCAGCCCCGCTTCCCTTCCAGCTCCCTGCTTGTGGCCTGGGAAAGCAGTGGAGGACGGCCCAAGGCTTTGGGAACCTGCACCCGTGCGGGAGACCCGGAAGAGGCTCCTGGCTTCGGATCGGCATAGTATCGGCCCGTTGCGCTCACTTGGGGAGTGAATCATCGGACGGAAGATCTTCCTCTCTCTCTCTCCTCTCTCTGTATATCCGCCTTTCCAATGAAAAAATAATAAAAATAAATCTTTAAAAAAAAAAAAAAAAAGAACCTTCCTGAAGAAAATGAAACTACTGTATGATCTATGAGTCAGTAAAGAATTTAATGAGAAAGTGTTTAAAGAAATGAAACTTAAACAAACAAGCAAACAATGACAAAAAAAAAACCCCCTCAAAATCCATGAGATTCAGTTTCTGATGACCCAATTCCAATTCTCATTGCAGTTAGCTGCTAATGTGCACGGTGGGAGACAGAAGGCCGAGTGCCCAGCCCAGCCTGCGTTGCTGCAGGTGGGAGACCTCTGGCTGCCCTGTAAAGCCAGAACAGGGAATGTAATTCCGGCCTTCCGCCTGGGTGGCAGGAACTAAGGAGCTTGAGCCACCAATGCTGCTTCTCAAAGTCTGTGCTGGTAGACAGCTGGAGTCGGGTGCTGGTGCCAGGAACAGAACCCAGACATTCGGAAGTATGATGCAGGACTTGTCATAGTGAGGCTGCGCACCAGCCCAGCAATGTTAACATTTAACACAGTTTCATGTTGTGTTTATGGTGTGTCAGGTACTACTTGATGTACCTGACAATAGCCCTAGCAGGTAATGACTTGTTGGCCTCATTTTACCCATGGGTAGACTGAGACACGAGGAGATTAAATCTTCAGGTCACAGAGCTTGGGCGTGGCGGACAGCACTTGCTGGTCCAGAGCCCCTGTGGGCCATTAAGCCATGCTTACTCTCTATGCTGTGCCACCATTCATTATAGTCTGACCTGTGCATTGCCATGTGAACTGCACATAGCCTGACTTGCAGGATCGGTAGGTAGTCCTGACCCCAAGTGGTCACAATGGCTGGAGCTGAGCTAATCCAAAGCCAGGAGCTTCTTACAGGTCTCCCATGCATGTGGATACAGAGTCCCAAGGCTTTGGGTCCGTTCTCCACTGCTCTCCCAGGCCACAGCAGGGGGCTGGATGGGAAGTGGAGCAGCTGGGACACGCACCAGCAGGCATATGGGATCCTAGTGCGTGAAGGCAAGGACTTAGCCACTGTGTTATCACACCAGGCCCGATAAGTAGCTTTCTTGAAGTTCATGGAAAATGGGATTGAGAAGTGCGTTTGTATGTGACTTCCTAGACACAGTGCTGCTTTCACTATGCACAGTTGCCGTGGGGTTCTAAAGAAGCCGCTGCTGATATTCACCCTACTCCATGGCTTTGTTCTGCCCCCACCCCGGGTTTGGGATCTGGTGCAGTGCTCTGCTGGCCCTGGTGGTCTCCTAACTCCCCACTGCCTTTTCTGTCCTGCAGTGAGCTTTGAAGGCTGCACCGGCCGCCCCAGAACGGCCTACTTCTCTGACGACTCCCGATTCCAAGTGGGCACAGACGGTGTGGTCACAGTCAAACGGCCCCTGCAGCTTCACAACCCGGAGACCATCTTTCACGTCCATGCCTGGGACTCCAGCTACCGAAAACTGTCTACCAGAGTCACGCTGAAGGCTGTGGGGCGCCACCGCAACCACCGGCACCACCATTCGCATGTACGTAGAGGGCATGGGTGCTGACCTTCAGATCCAGGTGGTCTGATCCAGAGCCCGAATGATGGGTACTTGGGCAATGTTGAATGGATTGCCAATGTACCTCCAGCAGGTGCTGCCTCTACCTCTGGCCTATCCCTCTTGACAAAGTCAGTCCCAGACCAGAACTCCAGGTCTAACTGACCTAATTGATTTTGAGGGGGTTGTTGTTGGGGTTGAATGGAGTAGGGTGGTGGGTGAAGGCACAGCCCCCTGTGTAACATGGAATGCCAGTCCTGCCATTTGACACTTGAGCAACCCTGGAGAAGCAGTTTCCTGTTGATTCTTTTGTTTGCTGATCTGAGCAGCGGCGTTGATGTGGGAGGCTGAGTGAATCTGTACGTGGCAAATGCTGGGAGCACACGGGGCATTTGCAAAGTTCTCGCCCCTGCCGGCTGCTCCTAACCCTGCCCACCACTGCAGGGGGCTCTCTGTTCACTGCACTCTGTACCTTCCCAGTGGCGGGGAACGGAGCAATGGAAGCTTGCCACATACACGGTAGTTCCCCATGCTTAAAGCTTGAGTGTCCTTCCATCCAAGCATGTCTGGGACCAGAAGCGTTAACGATTTCATGTTTCTGGGACATTGGCACATATACGGTGAGACACTGTGGGAGTGAGCCCCCAGCCTTAAAGGTAGAATTTGTTTGTGCTGCTCCTGACCTGACACACACTGCCTGAAGGTGATCTCATACGACCTGTCTCATAATCTTTTGTTTGCAATAGAACACCATGGCCTGGAGTTACCTGCTCAGGCCATGTCAGAGCCAAGGGGCTTTGAGTTGGGAGCCTTCACAGTGCATTTGCTGAACCTCTGGTCTGCCAGACTCAAGGGCCCTGCCCACCCCAAAGCTTTGGACATGCCGAGTGGCTGCTGGTGGACGCACATGTGTCTGCCTAGATCCTTGAGGTTTGTGGAGGTTCTTCCCAAAGCCACGTGCACTGCCTCACTCCCACGGTGTGGGACATGTCACCTGACTCCTCTGGCTGCCTTGTCCGCAGGGAGTAGGTTCCAGGCTCTGGAGGCTTCGAGCCTGCTTCCTGCTTGGCTCCCTGAAGACTCCTGAGAGGCATGGAAATTTAGTTGCCCCCCTAATTGATTTTTCTCAATTCTATAACTAGACCAGAAAAATGAGGATGTTAGTAGAACTATATAAACATTGCTCCCTACTCGGGTCTTCAGTTAGCCCATTATTCTTGTGAGAAAGTTCAGCCCAGTGAGTTCTGTAAGATTCGTTTATTTGAAAGGTGGAGCAGCTTAGGGAAATGTGGCAACCAGTCATTCACACCCCAAATGGCTGTAGCAGCTGGAACTGTGGAAGCTGGTGTCTTATGCTACCTTCCTGTTGCAGAGAGCTGGATCTGAAGATGAGAACTGGGGATGCTGGCTGCTGGGACTCTGACAGGGGCTAAGCCAGTAATGCAGTGCCTTAACCCATGGCGCCCCAACACCAGCCCAAGCTCTAGTTAGCGCGGCGTATAGAAGCTTCTGAGAACCAAAAAGACAGTTGAGTCAGCATTTCCTATTTGCTTGTGCTGGCTTTGCCGCCATGTCCATGTCTGCCGGAACGGGACTGAGGGCTCAGAGTCTGCGTTAGGCAAAGCTGCAGATCACAGCGGTGTGTGCAGAACGCTCTTGTGCCACTCCAGAAAGCCTGAGGCATGACTTCCAGTGGACAGGCTGCACAGCCAACCACAGCCTGGGTTCTTCCTGTCTGCTCTGCTTTGTCACCCTGAAGGATAGCAGATGATCCGAGAAGGCTGCCAGAGCTCCAGTCATCACTATGTTATCCTGGGCAATAAGGGGAAGGGATAAAAAAAAGCACAAAATGTGCTGCTTTAATTATCTGCCATTTCAGAAACCTTTATGTAATTTTCAACCAACTACTGTGTGTATGTCTCATTGGTTGTACCTATCCGAAAGAGAGATTAATCAGATTTTCTCTATGAGAATCCTCTTGTGTTTGAGAAACAGGGAACCTTTCATGGTCCACTTTCCAATTGTCCACAGTAGCTGGGACTGGGCTAGTCAGCTGCCCAGAGGCAAGATAGTATTCCTGCTTTGGAGATGAGGCAACCTTGATGCTGAGAAGGGAAGGACTCCGCCCTGGGCAGGGAGCGTCCCCAGGGAAGACTGAGAGTCCAGAGCCTGCCTTAACCCGGCTGGACTGCTTTCCTAAGAGATAAACATGGGGCGGGGAGGGCCAAGGGGGCTGTGCGGTGATGTGTGCCTAAGGGCCTGCCCATGTCTGTGTGTGTGTGTGTGTGTGTGTGTGTGTGTGTGTGTGTGTGTGTGTGCACAAGTGCGGACCAGCAGAATCGGGGAAGAGTTCAGGTGTGACGTTGGTCGCTTCTCATCTTTGTGATGTGCATCTTGACTCGCGGAACGCCAGGGAAATAGGACTTGAATCCGACTTGGCGGACAATGGTCTGTGGCCGCGGCTGAACGGTCTCAGGAGGATGGAGGAGGATGGAGTTTTCTCATTTGCAGACGTTAGAATCATCTGGAAGATCTCTGTCCCTCTTCCGCTCTGGTTTCCCTGAGTGTGCAGAGTCGTGACTGTGCACAGAAACTGTTCAATACAAATTGCTGCTGTCTCAGATGAACAGCTCTACATGGATCAGAGGAGCTCCCAGGCTCCATTGCCCATAACTCTGCTTGGGGACCCCAGATCTCTGGGAAGGATGGAAAAAGAAGATGAATTGAAGACCCCTGAGCCTCTAGCAGTTGTCATCTCTGAAACGAAATCCCTGTAGTGTTCTTGGAAAGGGGACCAGTACTTTCTGTAGCCTAGATGGACTCTGCTTCCAGGTTCTGATAGCAAACCCTGAAACCTCATTGTGCTGTGTGCCTGATGCAGGTACCCAGAGGGAGAAAAAGGAATGCTGTCTATTTTTTCTTTTTTTCTTTTTTTTTTGGTTAAGATTCTTATGTGAAAAGCAGAGTTGAAACAAAGAAGGAGAGAGAGAGAGAAACAGAATCTTCCATCCATTGGCTTACTTCCCAAAGTGGCTGCAGCAGTCAGAGCTGGGCCTTTCTGAAGCCAGGAGCTGGGAGCTCCTTTTGGATCTCCCACATGGGGTAGGGGCCCAAGCCTCCTTTGCTTTTCCAAGTTTCTTAGCAGGGAGCTGGGTAGGAAGAAGAACAGGAAAGATTTTTTTTTTTTCAATAACATCACATGGAAATATTTTTTTTAAGATTTATTTATTTTTATTGGGAAGTCAGATACACAGAGAGAAGGAAAGATAGAGAGATAAAGATCTTCCATCCCATGATTCACTCCCCAAGCAGCCACAATGGCCAGAGCTGAGCCAATCAGAAATCAGAATCTGGGGCTTCTTCCGAGTCTCCCCTGTGGGTGTAGGGTCCCAAGGCTTTCGGCTGTCTTCAACTGCTTTCCTGGGCCACAAGCAAGGAGCTGGATGGGAAGGGGGGCCACCGTGATTAGAACTGGCACCCATATGGAATCCCAGTGTGTGTAAGATAAGGACAGTAGCCACTAGGCTACTGTGCTGGGCCCAGCAGCCAGGATTTGAACTGACACCTATATGGGATTTTGGCAGCACAGGTGGAGGCTTAGGTGGCTGTGCCATGGCACTGGTCCCAGGGAAACCCCATCCATTATGGCAGAGGGATTGATGAATCGCGTTTTGACTGTTCTGTTGGAAGGATGTCGGTTGCATATGTCATTGGTGAGAGAAGCTGTCATTAAATTAAAACCATGCACGCAGTGCCCTTGTGGGGCCAAATTTCCGCTGAATTCTCATTTTGTTCCTCCTCTTTCTTTGAAGGATTCTCCCACTGGGACCCAGCCGGAGGTGCTCACCTTTCCCGAATCCCACCATGGTCTCAGAAGGCAGAAGCGAGACTGGGTCATTCCTCCCATCAGTTGCCCAGAAAATGAGAAGGGCCCATTTCCTAAAAACCTGGTTCAGGTGCGGAAGGAAGTTCCTGATGTGGGAGGGATTTCCTAGAGCGGGACTGGAGAGGGAGGGCGGAGGGGCCCGACACGGCTTTTCGTTTCTGTCCTCAGATCAAATCCAACAAGGACAAAGAGACCCAGGTGTTCTACAGCATCACCGGCCAGGGGGCCGACAAGCCCCCCGAGGGCGTTTTCATCATCGAGAGGGAGACGGGGTGGCTGAAGGTGACAGAGCCTCTGGATCGAGAGCACATTGCGAAGTACACTGTGAGTGCCTCCTGGCAGCGGGCAGCAGCAGGATGACACCGGGTGAAGGCTGGCGTGTGGTGTCCCTCTTGTGTCCCCAGGGCAGGTGCCTCACTGGACAGCTCTCAGCCTACTAGGGAGAAGTGACAGGGCATGGGGGGGGGGGGGGGGACACTGAGTTTTTTCTTCTCTTAGAAAAACAGGGAGGACAGTGCTCGTGGACCACGTGTAGGTGGGGACCCAGGATGTCAACCTGCCCTGGCCCTAAAGAAGCCAGTGGTGATACTCGGGGAGGTTGGGACCTGGTCTGGGACCTGGTTGCTGCAAGGTGGCAGAGTTCATGGAGGACGACAGCGATGGGTTGTAGACAAATGCAGAAAAGTCCCAGCATGCTTCAGCCAGAAGGACCTGAGTGCATGGATTTCACCCTGTTTGTAAGAAGTTGGTTTACCGGCCTTTCCCCTTGGTCCCTGCTCACGCCTGATGTGCTTGTGGGAACATTGGACTTGGTGACTGTGTTACAGCTCCTCCTGATGTCAGTGAAGCAACCCCTAAGGCATGAAGAAATTGGAAGGGTCTAAGGGTGAAAGTACAGGCCTGGAGGAGCCTGCCAAGCTCTCTGGCCATTCTCCACCTTTCCTTCCTTGTCTGGGCCTGAGTAACTCTGCACTGGTCCCCACAGCTCTTCTCTCATGCCGTGTCATCCAATGGGAATGCCGTCGAGGACCCCATGGAGATTGTGATTTCGGTGACAGATCAGAACGACAACAGGCCGGTGTTTACCCAGCCTGTCTTCGAGGGATCTGTTGTGGAGGGTGCACTTCCAGGTCTGTACAGCAGAGGGCGCCTCATGGCCCAGGTCCCGTTGTGACCTGGGTGCTGGAGTCTGGGGTCATGTCACCGAGGTTGACTCTTCCTGTGGGCGGAACTTGCTTGGGAACCTGTGTGTGTGAGTGTGTGTGTGTGTCCCATGTGAGGAGCATCCCTGTTGCAGGAACATGTTTCCAATGGATGGTGAGAATGGCCTCCCAATTGAGACCAGTTCCTGCAGGGTGCCTTCAACTGGTGCTATCTTTCCCATCACACTCTTCTCTCTCCTTGGTCATCCTGACTTGTGTGGCTACCGTTCCCATGCCTTGCTGGATTGGGCTGCCAGTGCCTGGCTGTTGCAGGCATTTGGTCGGAGCTCTGACCACCAAGTAAATAAGAAAAAGTTTAGGAAGCAGAGTGCAGGGAGATGGGACATGCTGGCATCCAAGCTGCCCTCTGTTACTTGGGATTGAACTGGCCCAAGGGCAGTCATCAGCTGCCATGTGACTGCTCTTATTTGTCCTCTCTGCTGCCACCAGGAACCTCCGTGATGCAGGTCACAGCCACAGACGCTGACGATAACATCAACACCTACAATGCTGCCATTGCTTACGAGATCCTCAGCCAGGATCCCACGCTGCCTCACCAGAACATGTTTATGATCAACCGGAACACAGGCGTCATCAGCGTGGTCGCCACCGGCCTGGACCGAGAGGTTCGGAGGACTTGGGGCTGGGACAGGAGGGAGTTAGCCGCTGCAAGCTGGTACCAAAGCTGCTTGTCCCTTAGTGTGGTGGGTGCGGGTATCTGCCCGAAGACAGTGTCTGGGCCTCTTGCAGGGGGTGTCCTGACTGCATTCCAGACCAGGGCCCGGGCTCGGCGGCTTTGGGTCTGGTCCCCAGCCTCTGTGTGCTTGGTCTCTTTGCAGACTTACCCCACGTACACCCTGGTGGTTCAGGCTGCCGACCTCCAAGGCGAAGGGCTCAGCACGACGGCAGTGGCCGTGATCACGGTCACCGACGTCAACGACAACCCTCCCGTCTTCGACCCCACCATGGTAATCCTGCAGCTGTGCTGGCCCGGCGAGTTGCACTCACCATGGCTCCCCACCCTGGGCCATGGTGACTTCACACCCAGTGGCAGGCATCATTTCAGCAGCTTCTGGCCCCAGGGTCTGCTGGCAAAGGGCTACAGAAGAGTAGACAGCAGCCTGAAACCAAGTGTCTCCCTTGTAGGCCTTATAGGATTTCATTTCCTCATGGGGCAAATATTTCCTGAGTTTTCAGCCAGATGCTGTGTCAATACATTGGAGGGATAATCACAAACAAGGCAGACAAAGGTTCTGTTATGTGCAGCTTAGTGTCTGCCAGGGAGACTGAGTAATTGACATGGATTATCGAATGCCAAGTGTATTACATACGGTCAGGGAGAGGCGAGTGAAAGCCGAATGGAAGAACTTATTGTATTGGTTAGGAATTGATTTGTTGGCTAATTACATAAACCTGACTGTTACAGCTGAAACACGTACGGTTGACTTTTTCTCTAATGTAGCGAAAAGCCCAGAGGTGGGGGTGAGATGCCCTTTCTGAGGCCACTTGTCACCTGGTATGATGACAGTAAAGACCAAAACTGCTTAGACTTGCTGTCCTCCCAGCCTCAGTATAATGCTTCCATCCATCCTGTTCCCTTGAGGCCCCAAATGGCTGCTGGAGCTCCAGCAGTCATTCGTGTACTCCTCCCAGGAAGGAGGCAGTAGAAGGGATCACAAATGGCATTGGTGCTGAGTCAGCTCCGCTTGGGAACAGCAACTTCTGCATTGAGCTCGTCCACGGGTTGCCCATACCTCCTTGGCAGTTACTGTCTGCAAGGGAAATTGGCCAGGCGGCAGGCAGTGTTACTAGGCATGGGCCTGCCACCATTGACACAGTGTAGAGGGGAGGAGATGGGTGAGGGAGTTGACAGTGTCTGCCATATGACCTAGTCACGATGAGTACACAGTGGCTTCCCAAAGTCAAAGAGTGACATCTAGATTAGGATGAGAAAGTCAGGAGAGGGTGGAAAGGTGCTTTAGGGAGCGGGATCAGTGTGTACAGAATGCCCAGAGTCCAGAGGGAGTTTGGTATGCAAGGAGAAAGCCAGTTGGACCAAGGGGAGTGACCCTAATCAGGTGCTATCCAGGGCCCAGCAGGTGGAGGGGAGGAGTTTAAGAAGTCCTGAGCATCAGGCTTGTCACCAGAGGGCCCTCCGCAGGGGCTCCCGTGAAGGTGACTGCTGGAGAGTGGGTGGGGTAGGGCTGCTGGGACCTGACTTATGCACTTAACTTGAGTCCCTGCCAGCAGCCAGGCTGACATGTGCTGGGGGGCTCATGGGTACCAATTGTTGCATGGACAGGAAACACAACCCCTGCCTAGTCTGTCCACGTCGCACTTTCTCCCAGAAGCTTGGGCTCAGAAGGGCTCCATTTTCTCATGGGCCCTGGCCCCATGCCGTGTAGACAGATTGGGGTGTGTGAGGATGACCTGTCTCTCGTTTGCCCTGCAGTACACGGGCCAGGTGCCCGAGAATGAGGTCAACTACCTGATAGCCACGCTTAAGGTAACCGACAAAGATGCCCCCAACACTGAACCATGGTTGGCCCAGTACACCATATTGAATGACCCTGAAGGCCAGTTCGAAGTCACCACGGACCCAGTGACCAATGACGGGCTCCTGAAGACAGCCAAGGTTTGTGTGGTACCAGGAGGGGCCATCCTCACCATGTTCACGCCCTTGTCGCCTGAGGTCTTCTCTCGGGGGGAGGGGGTCAGTCTTGGCTGGTGTAAGGGATGGCTGTCCCAGGCACTGGTGGCCCTGTGTGGGCTTGGTGTGACCTTTAGGTTCTAGTGGGGAATCAGGATGCTTGGATCCTGCCCCGTCCTTCTGCAAGAGGCTGTCCCTTTTCAGACCCACCTCTTTTCTGCAAATGGCAGGAAAGAAACATGATTTATAGGTTCCTACTCTTTTTTTTTTTTTTTAATTTTTATTTTTGATGATGATTACATGGTGGGGGAGGGGATTGAGGATTAGGGAAAAGTAGGTGAAATCGTTGTTTCCAAATTCTCTATTTCTTCTTGTCTGAGGAAAAGGGAGAGTTAAAGGGGGAAGCCACACCCAGTCTCCCAAATGTCCCAGTCCCCAGGGATGGGGAACTGCCACCCCGTATCAGTTCAGGGTCTCAGTGTAGTGCATGTTCTGAGGGTTCTGACCAAGTGAAATGCTGTTGATTTTGTTGATCCAGGGGTGAGGTAACCCTCACTGACTGATATATTTAATCTCGAGTCTCCATTTACCCAAATTTTTGCTGTCCTTATTTGCTGGGGTAGCTGTCCAATTTGCTCTGTTCTCCTTCTGCTGCTGTGGTACCAAATGAACTGCCATATTCTGCATGTGCATCAGGGTCTGTGTTCACTGCTTCGCCTTTTTTGCTTGCAGGCAGGTCCAAGGACCAGGGCCAGGCAACCCAATCCTTGCCAGATGTCCCACCCCTGGAGTCTCTACTCATATGACAAATTCTTTCAATGCCAGTGAGACAGAGGTCTCTCTCTTTTTTTCAGATTTTTTTTTTAATTGTAAAATCAGATATAAAGAGGGGATCATCCTTTGTCCATTGATTCTCTCCCCTGACGGCCGCAGTGGCCGGAGCAAAGCTGATCTGAAGCCAAGAGCCAGGAGCCTCCTCCGAGTGTCTCACACGGGTGCAGGGTCCCAAGGCTTTGGGCTGTCCTCAACTGCTTTCCCAGGCCATAGGCAGGGAGCTGGATGGAAGCGGGGCTGCCGGGATTAGAACCGGCGCCCATTTGGGATCTTGGCACTTGTAAGACGAGGAGTTTAGCTGCTAGGCTACCGTGCTGGGTCTGAGACAGAGGTCTTTAAAAAAAATTTTTTTTTAAGATTTATTCTTTTTTTTAATTTGCAAGGCAGATTTACAAAGTGAGAGAGAGATCATTTGATCTCCCACCCTCTGGTTTACTTTCCAAAAGGCCACAATGACCCTGACCATACGGGATGCCTGTCCCTCTACCCTATGGATGGAAGATCAGCATACTGTACCCTTGTGTTTGCCCCCAAAATTGATTTATTTGAAAAGTAGAGTTACAGAGAAGAAGGAAGAGACACATCTTCCTTCATCTGGTTCACTTCCCAAATGGCCACAGTGGTCAGAACTGGGCTGGTTTGAATCTAAGAACCAGGAACTTCTGGGTCTCCCATTTGAGAACAAGAGTCCAGGCACTGGGAATATCTTTGTATGTTTTCTTAGGCTGATGAGCAGGAAGCTAGAGCAGAAGTAGAACAGCCGGGACTTGAACCAGTGCCCATGTGATACTGGTGCCACAGGTGGAAACCTAATTTGCCATGCCGCTGTGCCAGCCCCTAAAACCTCAGTTTTGGTTTGTTTGTTTTTTGTTTGGTATTTTCATTTTCCAAAGATTTACTTATTTAAAAAATAAAGTTACAGAGAAAGCAACAGAGAGCACTTCTGTATCCTGGTCCTGCTGGTTCACTCAGCAGATGGCTCCAAAGCCAGGAGCCTGGAACTTCACTCAGGTCTCTGTGGGTGGCAGGGACCCAAGCATTTGGACCGTCAGCTTTCCCAGGTGCGTGGCAGGAAGCTGGGTCCTCAGCCTGGTTTTGTTCCTTCCTTAGGGCCTGGACTTTGAGGCCAAGCAGCAGTATATCCTCCATGTGAGCGTGCAGAATGTGGTCCCCTTCGAGGTGACTCTCCCCACCTCAACAGCCACAGTGACCGTGGACGTGACGGATGTGAATGAGGCTCCCATCTTCATGCCCCCTGAGAAGAAGGTGGAGGTGCCCGAGGACTTCGGCGTGGGCCTGGAAATCACGTCCTACACGGCCCGCGAGCCGGACACGTTCATGGAACAGAAGATAACGTACGTGGACACATTCTCAACTTCTTGCCGTCATCTGGGTGTCTTTGTGTCTGTGTATATGCACACACTGTTAGCTCTTTCCTACAGCTTTTCCTTTCCCTTCATGATCAGTCTTCCTATTTATTTACCCATCTGAAAGGCAGAGAAAGAGAAAGACAGAACAAGTACAAGGTCCTGTTTGCCCTTTCGCTGTGGGGGCCAGACCAAGGACCAGGAACTTCGCCAGGTGTGCCATGTGGGTGAAGGGAGCACAGCTCTTTGAGTCGTCACAGCTGCCTGCCCAGGTCTGTGTAGGCAGGAGTCCTATTTGGGAGCTCCACTATGGCAGTCGGGCATCCTAAGCAGAATCCCAATTATACCATGCGCCCACTTCCTACATGAAACTTAGCTCTCATGTGCCTGTTTGCTTCGCATTCTTGTAACCATGTGATTCTAGTTCACATACATGACACTGGGTTCTAAGGAGTGTACTGTTTATTTCTTACACTTGACAGTACAACCATGGGTGCTGAAATTGGAGGTTGAGACCACCCAGCTGTGACACTAGCCTTAAAATACACTTTTTTGTGTGTGTATGTAATATTGTATTGCTTATAATTCTAGGTGGTCCAACCTTTAAGGCTCGGTAGGGTGTGTTTATTTACAAATTTTGAACAGCGAAAAGGCAAAACCAGTTATATAGGATTTCGTGTGGTAATGAATTCTGTAGCTTTTTAAAGACAGGGGTTCAATAGCCATTTATGAAGTTGGCACCTCCTCTCAGCTCCCCATTTCCGAGCCCGACTTGTCCACTTCCCATCCAGCGCCCTGCTGTGCTTGGGAAGACAGAGGAACATGTCTGCAGTACTTGGGGCCCTGCCACCAAGGTGGGAGACCAAGATGGAATTTCAGGCTCCTGGCTTTAGTGTGGCCCAGCCCTGACTGTTGCCATCATTTGGGCAGTGGGTCAGGGCACAGAAGAGCAATGGATCTCTGTCTCTCTACCTTCCAAAACATTGTTGAAAAGGAACAGAGTGGCATTGGGATGGTCCGCAGTTGGTGAGAGGCAAAGAGACGTGCCAGCTGAGTGCCAGATGTGGTACTGAACTAGGCAGTACATTGACTTCTAAAGCACAGCATGCTGGGTGGAGGATTCCTTTACTCAATAATGGTGACCATCAAAGTTTAATTTCTTACAATTCGTACAAGGCAGTGCATTTGTTCCTAGGACATAAGTTCATGAAGTGAGATGGGCAGGGGTGTATGTGGAGTGAGCGAGCTAGCACGGCTGGTGGCACATTAGTGATCCTGAGTCCTGGTGGAGGCCAGACGTGTGGTCCCCACCCAGACTCATCAGGCAGCCTTTCTGTGGCGCTGACCAGTCTCGGAATAAAGACAGCTGAAGTTGCCTGAGACAGGCAGAGCTTCTTCAGCTCTGCTTGGCTTGCTGTCCCCGTTCCTAGCCAGAGCTTGTGTGTCTTCTCAGGTATCGGATTTGGAGAGATGCTGCCAACTGGCTGGAGATTAATCCCGAGACGGGTGCTATCTCTACGCGGGCCGAGATGGACCGAGAAGACACAAACTACGTGAAGAACAGCACCTATACAGCCATCATCATCGCCACCGACAATGGTAGGGAGGCCTATGTGTGCCCGGCTAAGTTGCCCAATGTTGTCAGGCCAGGAACCAGGAGTGGTGGAGACCTGCTCAGTCAGAAGCAGAAGGGCCATGATGATAGGAAGGAGGCCCGTGAAAAAGAGCCACAGCTGAGATCTGGCTTGGTGAAGGCAATGGGGGATTCTTGTGTGTTTCTGACTCGTGATGTTTCCTCTGACTTGCTCTAGGTTCCCCAGTTGCTACTGGAACGGGTACCCTGCTCCTGATCCTGTCCGATGTGAATGACAACGGGCCTGTCCCTGACCCTCGTAGGATGGACTTCTGCCAGAGGGACCCCCAGCCGCAGCTCATAAATATTATCGACCCTGACCTCCCTCCCAACACATCCCCCTTCACAGCCGAGCTCACCCACGGGGCCAGCGTCAACTGGACCATCGAGTACAGTGATCCACGTGAGTGATGCGCTCCTCTCCCCTTCTCCCTCACCCCTTCTGCTTCTCCTGTGCATCCGCAGTCCCCAGACATCACCCCTGCTTCTGCTGAAATTTGCCTCCTTGGGCCTGGCACAAAAGCCACTCTGCAGGATCTTTATTTTTCCCCCCGTCTAGAATGAACTTCTCTCTCTCCCTGCCCGTTCTGGTCCCATCTTTTAACATGGTTGCTTTTCCCAGGCCAAGAGTCCATCATTTTGAAGCCAAAGAAGACCTTAGAGTTGGGCGACTACAAAATCAACCTCAAGCTCGTGGACAACCAGAATAAAGACCAGGTGACCACCCTGGACGTCCTCGTGTGCGACTGTGAAGGAGCCGTCAACAACTGCATGAGGGCCAACTACGTGGAGGCGGGGTTGCAAGTGCCCGCCATCCTGGGAATCCTTGGAGGAATCCTGGCTTTGCTACGTAAGTGCAGCCGCACCTGTTCTGGCATTGGTGGCTTGCGCAGGGGTGGCTTGACCAGAGTGCTGGTTAAACTGAGCAGAGGATGAGATCTTTCTCATAAGCAGTGTTTCAGTTTCAGGGGTGATTTGCTGGGGACTGGGAGGCCGTCTCCCTGGAGTTAGCAAGGGCTCCAGGTTGCTTTTGTTTTGCTTTCTACCTTCCTAAACTTGAGAGCCTAGAAGTCACATGAGCCTTTTGACAGCGATTCCGAACCAGTGGATCTGCAAGGGGCCTCAGAGCCTGCATTTCTAATCAACCTCTGAGTGATTATGAAACTGCAGATTAGCAAGGCCTCTGGGTCTGAGTTGTGTGTGTTTGGGGCCTGTTGGGGCCTTGTGATGTCGTGCCCAGCCCTGTATCTACCTTGCAGAGACAACCCCCTGGTATGGGTGGTGAGTGCCTCACATTCTGAGTGACCCATCATGGGGCAGGGAATTGCATTGTTTATTTGGATAAGGCTTTTGGCATATTTCTGACAAAGTGTCTTTCTGACTGTACTTCCGTAGCACCTGAGAAGCATTGCCCAGGCTAGGCCCAGGGTCACAGCGAGTTAAGTTGCTGTTTGCCAACATCAGCCTTCAGTATCCAAGTGCCGATTCGAGTCCTGGCTTCTCTGCTTCTGATGCAGCTTCTTGCTGATGCCCCAGGGCAGATGCAGCGGGGGGGATGGGCCTGGTGCTTGGGACCCTGTCCCCACAGGGCAGACCTGTATACAGTTCCCTGCTTCTGGCTTCAGCACGGTTCGGTCGTGGTGGTTGGTTGTGGCCATTTGTGGAGTGAACTACTGGATGGAGGATCTCTCTCTCACACTCTGCGTTTCAAATAAAGTGTCCTGAAAGCAATCCCCTGGCTAGGTGCAAGTTAAACAACTTCTAGAGCTTGCGCATACCATTTTTGCCAGAGAAGAAGATGAGGCTCAGGTTATCCCCGAGCATCAACCGTCATGTCAGTCATGAGTAGGTCAAGCCCACCACCTGCTCATCAGCCTTCGTAGCTCCAGCTCCCTCAGAACCGAATCCCAAGTCCAACCCTGGTCTCTCCGTTCCTTCTACCTGCTGAAGTCCTCACTCCTGTTTCCTGTGCCACATACTTTCCCAAGGAGAAGGTCAATGTCAGTGACAGCCATTGAGAGCCTGCTCAAAGCCCAAGGCCGCTTTGAATTCACGTTGCAAATGTTGGGCTGCAGCCAGTCCATGCAGTCCATACATCCTGTGGATGGGTGTCTTTGTTTCATTTCTCAACTTTAAAAATAAATTGTATTTATTTGAAAGGCAGAGTGACAGAGGCATAGATCCGGAGAGCTTCCATTTGGTTCATTCCCCTCAATGCCTGTAGTTGCTGAAGCCGGGCCTCATCCAGGAGCTGGGATTGCCACCTTCCACGTCTCCCGTGACAGTGGCAAGGTCCCCAAGTCCTTGAGCCATCACAGGTTACAGGTTGCCTCCAGAGCACTCATAAATGGGATGCGAACCCAGGCACTGCAGGAAGGGGTGTGAGCACCTCGATGCTGAGCCGAGCGCTCACACTGCAGCCCTGCGTGTCTGGGTGTGCCGAGCCTCTGGCTTCGTGCTGCTCACTGCCTTTGCTCTCTGTTGTCACCACAGTCCTGCTGCTGCTGCTGCTGCTGTTTGTGCGGAGGAGAGCGGTGGTCAAAGAGCCCTTGCTGCCCCCTGAAGACGACACGCGGGACAACGTGTACTACTACGATGAAGAGGGAGGTGGCGAGGAGGACCAGGTGGGCACTGAAAACCCTGGGGGAGCTCCAGAGCCATCTAGGGATTTGGAAGAAGCCACAATTAAGAGAAAGCCTTTGGCCCAGTGAGGTAGCCTAGTGGCTAAAGTCCTCACCTTGAGTGCGCCAGGATCCCATTTGGTTGCTGGTTCATGTTGTAGCTACTCTACTTCCCATCCAGCTCCCTGCTTGTGGTCTGGGAAAGCAGTCGCGGGCGGCCTAAAGCCTTGGGACCCTGTACCCATGTAGGAGACCTGGAAGAAGCTCCTGGCTCCTGGGTTCAAATTGGCTCAGTTCTGGCCATTGCAGCACCCCTTGGGAGTGAGTCAGCAGATGGAAGATCTTTCTCTGTCCTCCTCTATGTGTATCTCACTTTCCAATAAAAATAAAATAAATCTTAAAAAAAGAAAAAGAGGGGGGAGCGCCTTTGAATCGGGCCTTCTGCTGATTTTTAAGAAATAGGCCTTGTCATCGGCCAGTGTCGTCGTGGCTGACACGGCTGGCCTTGATGGGTCACTCAGTGTTCTTTGTCTTGAGACGAGTAAACTGAGGCCCACGGCAAAGTGGCTTGCCCAAGGTCACACAGCTAGGGAGGGGTAGGCACTGCCAGCCTGGCGTCTTTATCATCATTGTCAGGGCATGAACGTCCCTCGGAGCAGCTGATCTAGTTTGACGTTTCCTCTCTTTGGATACCAGTTTAGCTAAATTTCATTAGGCAGTTGGCTTTGAGGCTGGCTAATGTTCCAGACTGTCTTTTCCTTGAATTTGGACAGTCTTGACTTGGTTTACCTGGCAGTCTGAGAGGGTCTGTGTGGCCAAGGGCACGAGGAAGCCCACCCCAGAGTCTTGCATTTGAGTCAGGCCGTCAGTGAGGCTCCTCCACAGGGCCCTGTGGTGTGGGAGAGGAGCTGGGATTCGGCTGTTAACGTACAGTGAGCAGCACATGGGGCTGCATCCTGCTTCGTCAGCTGTTCCATCTGGCTGCTGTTACACCCAGAATGGGTGCCCGCCGGTGGGCAAGGGCATCAACCAGTACCATCACCCATCAACTGCATGCGCCCCTGGGGATGCTGGACTGCTGCCTTCCACCTGGTGGTCACACTTTTGCCTGTTTCTCCACAGGACTTTGACCTGAGCCAGTTGCACAGAGGCCTGGATGCTCGCCCGGAAGTAATACGCAACGATGTGGCCCCGACCCTCATGAGTATGCCCCAGTACAGGCCCCGGCCCGCCAATCCCGATGAGATTGGGAACTTCATCGATGAGGTGAGCAACCTGGATCCAACAGGCTCTTGGGATGCTTGCCTTTGCACAGTCTCTGAGTCCTCGCTGTTGATATCTGTCCTGTCTGAATCTTGGGGTGGATCTTGGTCTGTTCGCAAAGGCCATTTAGTAGATCTATAGAGGAAACCAGAGATTCAAAGAAAACGCAGCTTGGGAGTTGATGTTAAGTGTGCATTTCAAGTCTGCTGCTAGAGCCAGAGAAAGTATCCACATTGTATGTGTCAGAAGTCCATTCAGCTCCCCATAGGAGAAGGGAAGCAGATAGGTGTGGATTCATCTGCAAACCTGAGGGGGAGCCGTCCAGAATGCATGTCACTTTGTATTCCGTCGTCTGAGCATGCAAGTCCTTGCCTCCTATGCTTGTCAATGCGTGATCACAACGTGGCTGCTGTGTTTCCACGCTTTGGGTTTATATCCTAGTCGAGCGGGATAAACAAAGCCCGAGGGTAGACCTCTCCCGTTACACTGTCATGGCTGAGGGTTTGTCCAGTGTGTTGAATCCTCACGAGGTTGTCCTACAGTAAAAGAACTACAAAAAGTGTGATTTAGTTTGGGCTACCATGTGGGACTGAAGAAGACAAGTGAGAGAGTGCCACCCAGTGTCCTACTCAGGGATTGCCGTGGCTTTCAGGACCTGTCCTGCGTGTTTCTGCTAGCTGTGGGCTGCTGTTGCTTCAGGTCCCCTTAGGAGCTGCTGTCACTGGAAACCATGGCAGCTTCTCTGGCCACCTGATCTGATCTGTCTTCCTGCACCTCATTGGACGTTCCCTGTGCCTTGCTATCCCGGACCTGGTTGCCCTGCCACGTGTTGAGTGTCGCTGAGAAGCCTCCTATCCATGGGGCAGGTGCGCCAGGCTTTTGGCTCAGAGCCGCTGTCTCCTTCCTTCTCAGAACCTGAAGGCGGCCGACACAGACCCCACAGCGCCGCCCTACGATTCCCTGCTCGTGTTCGACTATGAAGGCAGTGGCTCTGAAGCTGCCTCCCTAAGTTCCCTCAACTCCTCCGAGTCTGACCAGGACCAGGACTACGACTACCTGAACGAATGGGGCAACCGCTTCAAGAAGTTGGCTGACATGTACGGTGGCGGCGAGGACGACTAGGGAGGTCCCATGTGGCGGCCGGCGCACAGGCTTTCCCAGCACCCTTCCTTTGAGATGAGTTTCCAGGAAAGAGACCCCAACCAAGGATGCAGTGACGATAGTTAGCATTTTCAGTTCATGTCGCTCTCATCTGTGTGTGGGAGAAAGAACTGAGGTGTCCATCCACTCTCTCCCGGACAGTCTGGCCAATGATTTGCAGCTGACTTCAGGCTCCTGTTCCACAGGGATGGGAGGAGCCAGCTGCTGTGCTTGTCTGTTTCTCCCCTCATCCCTGTACTGCTGTCCCAAGCCTGCCCTCGTTGCTGGGCCCCACTGCTGTGCATCCTTCCCGTCCCTGGGACCTGGGTCAGGCCCTGTCCCTTGGCTGAATTCTGCATGCTCTAATGACTCCACATAGTTTTTCCTTTTTCATCTCTCATGAACATGAACTTGGTCCTGCTGGGGCCCTACCACTGACATGGGCTGCAGGGCAGGGGCAACGGGAGAGGGTGAGGGGGGAGTTTTGGCCACAGAGCGAGCCAGTGCTGAAGGCAGCCACCTCACACTTGCGTCAGGATGGAGGACTTGCACCATGCTGCCCACCCAAGCTCCTTGGACCCTGGTTGGTCCCCGAAGCCCAGGATTCCGAGGTGCCTGCTTTGGATGACGTCGGTGAAGCGTGCTGGCTGGTCTGGATGTTTGCCCAGTTCCCAGTGTGCACACAAGACCAAGGACATCGCTGCTTCCATCGTGCTTTCTTAGGAGCAGGAAGTGAGCGGTGTGAAGGACTGGTATTGTGGCACAGCAGGTTAAGCTGAGGCTTACAACCCAAGCATCCCATGCCAGAGCACCAGTTCCATTCTGGTTACAAAGATCTAGCTCCTCGCTATGTGCCTGAGAAAGCAATGGCGGGTGGCCCAGGTACTTACTTGGGCACTGCCACCCACAGGGTTGACCCTGGTAGAGTTCCTGGGTCCTGGTATCAGCCTGCAGCCTGGCCTAGACCTGGCTGTTGTAGCCATCTGGGAGTTGAACCAGGGAATAGAAGTTCAGTCTTTCTCTCTCACTGTCACTGTAACTTTCAAATCAATCAATCATCTTAAAATTTTGTTAGCTGTGGCTGAAGAAGATCTTGATTTGGTCTTTTTTTTAATTCAGAAGGTAAAAAGACTTGATGGAAGGGGTTCTTTCGGAAGGAGACATCATGTAGGCAATCGCTTTTCGGGATTCTTCTGATGGTTTAAACTGTGCTTAGTGTAGTTCTTTCTGTACAGAGAATGTCACTATAGTTTTGAGTGCACATGTGTGTGGGTGCTGATCATTTTGTATTTTTTGTTGGGGGCTGAAAAAGAACAATTCAAGCCAGAAAAATTATTCTGAGATGCATTTTTATAAACTTTATTAAAGAATTTTATTAAACCACGGTCACATGTGTTTTGTTTAGTTCCACTTCAAGTCCAGGCAAGGCCCAAGGTAGATCAGGGGAAGGGGCTATCTCTACAACACACAGAGAAGCTCTGACGGGCTTCTGGGCCCTTGGAGGAGGGCAGGGAGAGACCATTCAAACCCCTGCGTTAGGGCCCAGCACAGTGGTCTAGCAGCTGAAGTCCTCTCCTTGCACATGCCAGGATCCCATATGGGCACCAGTTCTAATCCCGGCAGCCCGACTTTCCATTCAGCTCCCTGCTTGTGGCCTAGGAAAGCAGTAGAAGACAGGCCAAAGTCTTGGGACCCCGCACCTGCATGGGAGACCCGGAAGAAGTTCCTGGATCCTGGTTTCAGATCGGCACAGCACCGGCTGTTGCACTCACTTGGGGAGTGAATTATCGTACGGAAGATCTTCCTCTCTGTCTCTCCTCCTCTCTGTATATCTGACTTTCCAATAAATAAATAAATCTTAACAAAAAAAAAAACCAGTCTGGTGGCAGCCCAGCAGACAATACACACAGGACAGCACAGTAGCAATGTCAAGGATATTTATTTCCCCTCTAGAATGTGTTCCCAATGTTTGCATGTTCTGCTAGGATGTTGAGAAGATGAGGAAAGGAACTGTAGTGTTAAGCACCCACTATGCGGCTGAGTCAGAGGGAGAACAGATATTACATCATCTGATACACTCTCCAAATGGCTGTAACCGCCTTGGCTGGGCCAGGCAAAGCCAGGAGGCTGGAACTCCATCCAGGTCTTGCATGTGAATGGCAGGAACCCAAGTGTTTGAGTAGGGAGCTGATCCTGGCCACTGGTGACCCATGTGGCCACCCATGGGCACTGCCTGGTTTTGACTTCCCTTGCCACCTTTTAAGGATCATTGTCTCCTTGCTTGAGAGTGAAGATTTGATTTGGCAGCCAAAGAAATGGCCAATGACCAGAGGGGCCCTAATTGGTCCTGGAGAGGGATTCAGCTCGCAGCTTCTCTCCCTGAGGACCAGAGCTTGCACCCGGGGCATACCTGCTTCCCATGGCTGCCAGCAAGCAGCGCTGAAAAGAGCAGCCTTCTGTTTGAAACCAGGCCGGCTCTGGAAGGACGGGACAGCTTCCGATGTGGGTGTAGAGGGTGATCTGGGCTGTGACAAAGGGCGAGAGAACAGGTTGAACCCTGCCCCTGAAGCACTGTCCTGTTAGCAGCATGATTTTCAGACAAGGCAACTTTTGCATGTTCTGACTTGAGCATCCCAGTCCAGAGAGCTGGATGGGATGTGGAACAGCCCGACATGAACTGGTGACTATATGGGGATGTTGGCACTGCAGGCAGAGGCTTAGACTGTCACCACGACGCCAGGACCCTAAATCAGGCTTTTTAGAAAAGAGAAATGCAAGAATATCCAAACTTCACAGATAGGTGTATCTTCGGGCTGCTTCAGTATACACTGCTTATCGAAATGAATAAAGGGTGGGGGAAGAGGGCGTTCCCGTCATAGGCCCCGCCCACGCTTCCTGTATGCCCCTCCCTCCCGGGCTGAGGACCGCCTGCCACACTCAACATGGCGGCGACGCAGATTCGCTTCCGGTCTCAGTCCGTCGTAAAGTAGCGTGTTCCACTCCAGTCATGGCGGCCTCGAGGCAGCCCGTGGGCAGCGGGGCTCTGGAGAGTTGCGGTCTGAACCTGATTGTGGACGCGTTGAAGCTGCTGCTGAGCCCGGGAGGTGAGAAGGCGCGTCTTGGCGCCGCACTGGCCCGGGACTCTCATGGGTGACCGACGTGCGTTCCTCGGGCCCTCCCCGGGCTCGCTGTCGTGGGAGCTCCGCGCCTTGTCCGGCCAGTCGCGTGTCCCCGGAGGCTCCAGGCGGACCTGGGGTCGGCTGCAGGCTGCAGGTGGCCGGCATCTCCTCAGCACTTGCCTGGTTGGGTGTCTGGCCGCGTCGTTGGGCCCCGGGGTGGAATCAGCTGCCCCGGCCGGGAACTCCTAGGTGGACTGGAGGTGGCCCGGTGGCCGGGACAGAGGTTCAGGATGGGCAGAGAAGGCTTAGGGCTTTACATTGAGATTTAGTCCTAGCCAGTGTAGATCTGCGGGCACGCTGGGAGTAGTTGAACCTGCAGCTGTCTCCGCTAACAGCTGAGGGTACTTGAGACTTCGGCTTCGACCTGCCCAGGGTCGCGTGGTCCGTGGCTGAGCACCGACTAGAACGAAGCAAGCAAGCCGGATTTGGCCGGTGCGGCCAGTGCGAGTGGCTGAGGTTCGGGTTTGCACACGCAGGTTCGCTCCCACCCCGAGGTCGGTCAGGAGTCACCCTGCAGAAATTCTGCTGGAAGTTGCCATCTGGGAGGCCGCTGGTCTCGCCGCAGCAGCCCAGTCCGGTGTGACTGAGGAGGAGGCCCACGAGGCAGCCGGCCTGCATGGAATCGTTTATCACAAGCACACGTAGGCAGTCTTCAGTTGCACATTCCGAAAAGCCCGCGCACGGATTGCACTAACGTTCTGTACAACATCTACTCGTCTTCTAATCAACCCCACAACCCAGAGGTCTTTCAGAAACACCCCTGTCCTTCATCCACAGAGGACCCTCTAGTCTCCCCCAGGGTAGGGGGAGCTGTGTGTCATGTACTCGCTTAATTGCGAGTTCCAGCAGACACGGGGACAGCCCCGGTCCAGGAATTCACTCCACAGGCCGGGGCTCCCAGGCTAGGCAGGAACCAGGAGCCCAGAGCTCAGTCTGGGTCTCCCGTCTTGGTGGCGAGGGCTCGGTACTGGACCCTTCACCTGCTGGACGAGGGGAAGAGCTGGGACTTCAGCCCAGACCCCTCTGGTCTGGGATGCAGGCATTCCAAGGGGCATCGTAACTATACCAAGCACCTGCCCCCATCCCAGTGTTTATGAAATATGACTAGGTCTGCAAGATGAAACAGGAAGAGAAGCACTTTCGTGTTCTTGTAAGTCTCTGATCATTAGAAGACAGCTGGGCACATGTGTGCGGTGTCACTGTTAGCATGCACCTGTGCCGGCTTGCAGCTCCCATTTGCTGACTTGAGCTCCCTGTCCAGCCATGAGGGGCCTTTGGGTATAAAGCAGCAGATGGGGATCCTGTTTGTCTCTCTGAAATGTAACAGTTGTGTTCAAAAGTTACCTAGAGGAGACAGCTAAGAGTGTGAAAGGCAAGTCATGTGCTGGGGTTGCTGTGGCCTTACAGAACCCCCTGAGGATTCTAGGAAGCCCCAGGGCACCCCAAAGTGCTGCTTTCAGTGCTCCCATGTAGTTTGTTCTCCTCACCAGTAGAGGGCAGAGAAGACCGCTTTATTAGGGGACCCATGGAAAAACGGAGCTGTGGTTTGGAATTATTTTCTTTGTGTGTTTGGATTCAGATCACACAGAAGTCACCTGGAGGTTGGTTTGTGATTTTTTTTAAAAGACTTATTTATTTATTTTTAATTGGAAAGTCAGATATACAAAGAGGAGGAGAGACAAGAGAGAAAAATCTTCCGTCCCCATTTTACTCCCCAAATGGCTGCAATGGCCAGAGCTGAGCTGATCCAAAGCCAGGAGCCTCCTCCAGGTCTCCCAGGCAGGTGCAGGGTCCCAAGGCCTTGGGTTTGTCCTCGACTGCTTTCCCAGGCCACAAGCAGGGACCTGGATGGGAAGTGGAGCAGCCAGGATTGGAACTGGTGCCCATATGGGATCCTGGCATGTGAAAGGCAAGGACTGTAGCCGCTAGACCACTGTGCTGGGCCCTGGTTGGTGGTTTTTACTGCCTAGTGGGGACAGTGGGAGAGAGTGCTCTTTCCCTTTTTTTATATGATATCCAAGGGTCTTGTTTCGCTTTTTTTTAAAGATTATTTTTGAAAGAATTAGAGACAGCGTATGCACGAGAGAGATCTTCCATTTGTTGCTTTGCTCCTCAGATGGCTGCAGTTTCTGTGGTGGGACCAAACCGAAGTTAGGAGCTTCTTGGCTCTCTCACTTGGGTGCAGGGGCCCAAACGTTTGGGCCATTCTCCGGTGCTTTCCCAGGCACATTGACAGGGAGCTGTAAGTGGAGCAGCTGGAACTGGAACCGGTACCCATCTGGGATGCCGGCACCCCAGGCACCCATTTAATTTGGTGTAAACAGCGCCTGCCTGTGGGCAGGTCCAGATCTCCTCAAAGGTTCCATCAGGATTCCAATTTGCCTTATTCGGCTAGGCCTCACTTCCGGTCGGCGCTCAGCCCCTGATTACACTGTCCTGGGCTGGCACCTGGCCCTGAGTTTCAAGTACCCTCAGCTGTCAGGGGAGAGAGCCACAGGTTCAACTGCTCCTTACCCAGATTTCAATTGGCTGGAAAGGACAAAGTGGGCGCGGAGCATGTTGCAGGTGGTGTGTCTGCGCCAGTCGTAGCATCCCCAGTGGGCTGCGGAGCTAGGAGACCTGCGGTGTGAACCTGACTACGGAGGCGTAGAAGCTGCTGCTGAGCCCGGGAGGTGAGCGGGCATATCCCGGCACCGTGCTGGCCCGGGGCTTCTCAGGGGTACCCGTCATTCCTTCCATGGTGTTCTCCTTGGGCCTTCCCCGGGACCCCCTGGGCTTGCAGTGTTGGGGCTCTGTGCGTTGTCCGTCCAGCCGCATGTCTCTGGAGGCTGTAGGTGGCCGGCGACTCCCCAGCACTGGGCTGGTTGGGCAGCTGCGTGTGTCGTTGTGTTCCAGTGTGGAATGCGTGGGTCGTCCTTGATGTTGATCATCTTTGAGAAGTCTTGCGGGATTCTCTTTCAAGTCGCATTGTCTTTATAAGAATAACTTTCATGAAATACACCTTTTTAACAATTGTATTTGCTTTTTATTTATTGGAAAGGCAGATACAGATATCTTCCATCTATTGGTTTACTCCCCAAAGGCCTACAACAGGTGTGGATAGGCCCAGCTGAGACAGGGAGAGCCAAGCACGTGGGCCGTCATCTACAGCCTTCTCAGGCACATTAATTGGAAGCTAGATTGGAGGCCAAAGAGCCAGGACTTGGATCTGTATGTACTAGATGTTGGCAGCTGCAGCGCAACCCCTTGTGCCACCACGCCAGCCCAGCAGTGTGTGTTTAAGTGCCTTTCAGGTCCTCATGGCCTGATAGCTGGTGTCTGTTCAATTGCCGAATAACACTTGGTCACACAGATATTCCACAGTTTGTTTATTCATTTACCTCGGCTGTTTGAAAGCATCTGTTCACTTGTTGAAACGCACCTTGGCCACTTCCAGTGTTAGGCGATTATGAATCAGGCTGCTGTAAACACACGTGGGCGATGTTTTTGCGTGGACATAAGCTTGCAACCCATTTGGCTGAATGCCCCAGAGCGTGGTGGCTGGGTTGAGCTTTGAAAGGAGCTGTCAGGCTATCTTCCAACATCACTGTGCTGTTCAGCTTCCTCAGCAACTGTGAGCGGGAGCTCTTTTTGTGATTGCTCCCAAAGCTTGCTTTAATAGAAAGTCCCTTTGGTGTGCTGTTTGTCATGATCCCATATGGGATCCTGGTGTGTGCAAGGTGAGGATTTTAGCTGTTAGGCTACTGTGCTGGGCCCTGTGTATTTGTTTTTAAGATTTACTTGGCGGACAGAGACGGAGCTCTCCTATCCATTGGACCACTTCCCAAATGCCTACAGCAGCCTGGTTGGGCCTGCCCAGAAACCAGGCACAGAGGTCAGTGCAGGTCTGCCCTGTGGTGCCATGGACCTCGCGCTGGAGCTGTCACTTGTTGCCTGCCAGTGTTCACATCAGCAGGAGGTTGCAATGGTGGGACTTGAACCCAGGCTTTCTGATGTGGGATGCAGGCATCCCCATCTGTGGCTTAGCCCCTGTGCCAAGAACCCACTCTATGGCTTGTTTTCATTGTATCTGATCTGTGTTGTTTTCTTTTTTTTTCCCTCTTCTTTCACTTTGTAAAGGATCAGGCTCAAGTTCCCTACAGATCACAAAGCATGATGTGTTGTTAGCCACTTTGAAGTCCAACCTGTCTGCTTTCGAGGACAAGCTCCTGAAGGACCCTGAGTGGGGGAGATTGGCTCTCCTCAGAGAAGAGGTGGCTGGCCAGGCCGAGTGGCCACAGAACTCTGAGGACGTCACCTGGCGCTTCACCGCGGAAGCCTTGCTGTTGCTGCTATGCTTGAAGAAAACTATGTTTCGCCTGGCGGCTGACTTCAGTCCAGGGAAAGCCAACCCTAAGACTCCGGAAGTTGCTCCCACCCTGAGCCCCGACACGCTCAGCATTTCGCAGCAGAAGACAGTCCAGTCGGCTCTGCAGTTTGTTGTCACCCTGGGCGTCTGCCCCTACCTTCTGCCTGGTGTCGGGGTCCCTCTGAGGTGCAGGACCGAGTTTGGCGCCGTGGTGCAGGATGTGGTGTGCCCCGAGGTCGCCCCGCCTGCTCTCCGGAGGCTGCACGCCAGCTGCAGGGGCCTCCTGGAGGTGGCAGGGCACGCTGCGCTCGGCAGCCTCGTCTTCTGCCGCCATTTTGGAGACATTGCAGCAGGCCTGTGCCAGCTGGGGTTCTGCCCGAGCGAAAGGAAACCACTGACACCTTCTGAAGAGGTAAACTATCGCTAGGGGTGGGTGCATGGGTGGGGTGGGTGCGTGGGTGGGATGTGTGTGCGTGGGTGCATGGAGTGTGTGGTGTGTGCATGTGGGTGTGTGGGGGTGTGTGTGTGGGTGTGGGGGTGTGTGTGTGGGTGCGTGGGGTGTGGGTGCATGGGTGGGGAGTGTGTGTGTGTGGATGTGTGTATGTGGTGTGTGTGGGTGTGTGTGGGTGCATGGGTGGGGAGTGTGTGTGTGGATGTGGTGTGTATGTGGTGTGTGTGGGTGCGTGGGGGGTGCGTGTGTGGGTGCATGGGTGGGGAGTGTGTAGGTGTGTGTGTGTGAGTGATCTTCAGAACAGGGCTGCCAGAAGCAGCCTGGGGGACGAGTCACTCTTCTGGAAGGAGTGGTTGATTGTAGTCTCTTGGCTACCAGTCCTTGGCATCCCTGGGGAGTCCCTTTCTCCCACACCTTGCTTTGTGGTTGCAGGCTGCTTCCTCTTTTCTTTCTCTCATTTTTATTGGAAGGATAGCTTTATAGAGAGAGTAAGATCATCCATCCTCTGTTTCATTCCCCCAAATGGCTGCAATTGCTGGAGCTGAGCTGATCTGAAGCCAGGAGCTAGGAGCTTCTTCTGGGTTTCCGACATGGGTGCAGTTCCCAAGTCTTTGGGCTACGCTCCACTGTTTTCCCAGACCACTGTCAGGGAGCTGGTTGGGAAGTGGAGCAGCCAGAACACAAACTGGTGCCCGTGTGGGATCCTGGCACTTGTAGGCTGAATATTAGTCAGTTGGACCATTGCTCCAGCCCCTGTAGGCTGTTTAAAGCTTTTTGTGCTCTTTAAGTCATGTATGCCCTCGCAGGGTGGTTGTGAACATAAAGATCAGTGAGTTAAGACGTAACGGGGAAAGAGAAGAGTGGCTGCAGCATCATCTGTGTTGCTCATAGAGGCCGGGGTGGAGTGTGTGGCTGGCACGTGGGGACCAGCAACACTGTAGAGCCACCCCCTGCCCCCTGCCCGCTGGCCAGGGTTTGCTTCTGCAGAACTCACGGGAGGGCTGAGCAGAGTGCTGAGCAAGAACAGTGGGTGTTCCAACTGGCAGTAAGCAGTTTGTTCCGCACTCACCAGTGGGCCACATCACGCCTGCCACCCAGGTGTGGGGTGAGTGAGAGCCCGGGGTCGGGGGGTGGGCTTTTGTGCAGTGTTGGGAAACATCACCTCCTATTGGCTGCCTGGCTGATAGTCCACTGAAGTCCAGTGTGGTTTTCTTGTAGGTTTTAACTGAAGAGGAGAGAACCCTCTCCAGGGCTGCCTTGAGGGACATCTTGGACCAAGTGTATCAACCGCTCGCAGTCCGGGAATTACTCATCCTGCAGGGGGGACCCCCCCAGGTACTTGGGCCCGGGGACTGTTGGGGTGAATTTCTGATGATGATGACGTGTAGCTTTCTGTCTGTGCCTGAAAGATTAAGTAGCAGTTGTTCTCTGCTTCATGGTCAAATTAAGCTTTATTTTATTTTCTGGATAATTAAATAGTGCTTATAAAACTCAGTGACATTATTAAGGTGATTTATTTATTTGAAAATCAGAGTTACACTTGATATTAGCCAAAAGCTTGAAGGTGCAGGGTCCCAAGGCTTTGGGCCATCCTTGACTGCTTTCCTGGGCCACAAGCAGGGAGCTGGATGGGAAGTGGAGTAGCTACAACATGAACCAGTGCTCATATGGGATCCTGGCGCATATAAGGCGAGAACTTAGTCACTGAGCCATTGTGCTGGGCTCCCCATTAGGATTTTTAAAATGCCAATTTTTTGTAAAAGATGTATTTTTTTAAAAAAATTTGTTTATTTATTGGAAAGTCAGATATACAGAGAGGAGGAGAGACAGAGAGGAAGATTTTCCGTCTGATGATTCACTCCCCAAGTGAGCGCAACAGCCGATGCTATGCTGATCCGAAGCCAGGAGCCAGGAACTTCCTCCAGGTCTCCCACACGGGTGCAGGGTCCCAAGGCTCTGGGCCGTCCTTGACTGCTTTCCCAGGCCACAAGCAGGGAGCTGGATGGGAAGTGGAGCTGCCGGGATTAGAATTGGCGCCCATATGGGATCCTGGCGCGTTCAAGGCAAGGACTTTAGCTGCTAGGCCACACTGCCCGGCCAAAGATATTTTTTTTTTTTTTTTTCTTATTAATAAATTTTATTTTGACATTCTTTACATAGTTAATTAGGGTAAGAAGGTTCAAGGGCTACAGGAAAGTGGATAATACTAATATGTTTTCCATATTGTTACCTTCATGTTTAAAAGGGGGGTATTAAGGGAGAAGGCCCACCCAATTTCCCACCCTCCCCAAGTCCCGGGTGTAGGGCATGCTCTGAGGTTCTTGCTCAAGTGGTTTTGATATTGCAACAGTTATGAATCGCTGTCAATCTTGCCGCTCCAAGCACTATGAGGTCTTTGAAAAATCCACTGATTGACATAGTCCATCATAGCTTAGATGGTTGGTTGACCTGTTCTGTCTTCTCTCTTTTCTTCGTTAGGGTTCTGAGTCCAGCATTTAGATTAGGAAGATCTCCAAAGAAACTTCTTGTATGTGCTAACAAGTACAGGGCCTGGCACCGTCCATCGCTCCAATCAGCTGGTGGTTGCAATTCCTGGGTTGGTTCTGTTTTCACTCCCGACTCCCACTGGAACCAATGGGTGTTGCAGTCCAGTCTGGTTCTGCCCAGCACATACTTGGCCCTCACATAAACCAGCGGGAGCTGTAGCCTAGGTTGGAGCGACCCACAATAACCCCAACCAGGCCCACCCCCTACCCTGGTTTGCCAGTAAGTGTAGCAGTAATCCAGTCTGTCCCACATCCCATTCCACCCCAGCCGCTGTCTTAGTTTTATGTCCTCCCGTGGAAGTGGTAACCCAAGAGGGATGAGCCCACTATTTCCCTCCCAGGCCTCTCCCACTCCCAGATTCCAGTTGATGCTGCCCAAACAAACCTCGCCCACTTTAATTTTGTTGCACCAGTAGGAATAATCCGCCCAGCCTGGCTTTTCCCTGATCTAGTCCACATGAGGCGCACAGGTGTGGTAGCTCTGCCTAGTCTGGTCTGCCCCCATCCCAGCCCATGCTCTCCTGCGGAAGTAGCTGTCCAGCAAAGGAACCCTCCCTTATTCCCCTGCCAGCTCTGCCCACTTCCTTTCTTGTTCTCAGGCTGGTTGGGCGCTGCGGTCCCTTCTGGTACAGGCAACCTCACCTCAGCATTCCATAATGTGCACTAGTCTTTGTTGCGACCGACCCTGGGTCGACCCACACTGGTGCCTGGATTTGCCAGTGGATGATGTGGACAGATTCAGCCTGGTCTTGCCCCCACGTCTGCCAACTGTATGCCAGTGGGTAGGTTTCCATGGCCTTTTCTGGGCTGTTTCCTATCATGTTTCTTGCGTTTACCTGCTGGGTCTGTGTCCTGCCAGAGGAGTTGCCCAGGCTCCTCCATCAGAACCTCTCCCAATGCCAGGTTTCACGCTTACCAGTGGATCCATGAGCCAACCCTACTCAGTCCACCTCCTGTCATAGCAGGAACTGTGGCTTTTCCTGACTGGCCTTCAACCCAATCTGGTTCTTGCTGTTGGATGTTCCAGCCCAGCCATGGTTTGTCCATACCCGTATGGCTCACACATGGCTCAGTAGGGGTTTGAGACCCTGCCTAGTCCATCCCACATCTGCCCTGGTCCTCCAGAACACCAGGGGGAGTCGGGGTCCGGCCCAGTTCGGTGCATCCAATCCCAGTCCACACTTGTGCCAAGGGAGACTACAACTGTTTCCAGATCAGAACGCAGCCCCCTTCCAGGCCACGTGCCTCTTGGTGGGAACCTCAGCCCAGCTAGGGTTGTCCCCTTTGCTCCCCAACCGGGTCCGTTCCCAGGCATAGATCACATGCCTGCCAATGGATGCTCTGACTCAGCTTGGCACAGCCCCTCCCCTGTCCCGAACTCTGCCTTAGACACTGTGGCTTAGCGTCCCAGGCTCCCACAGACCAGCAGGTACAAGAGCCTAGCTCGGCATGACCTTTGCTCCCTCCTGGTTTCTAGTTTTACTTGTGGGCTAAGGTTTGCTCAGTCGTGCCTAATCTACTCTGTTCCATTACCAGTTGACACATTGGCCAACTGTTGGAGCTACTTGTGCAGGGCAAGCCCCAAGCCATAGCTTCTGCATGACTGGTATTTGGTGCTCAGCATTATTAGTGATTACAAGTTTTGCTAAGAAAGAGTTACTGCCTGTTTCAGGTCCAAGAAGCACAATGGGTTCAACCTGGAGCTAATTAAGCAGCAATTCAAAGAACCAAATCCCCAGAGCTCCCCAGCCGGGCGGCCAGCAGGCGGAGCCTGGCACCAATGGCGCACTGGCCGCCCGGGGAGGACGGCTCACCATGTGCCCATGGCGGCCGTCCGGGATCCAGGCATGAGACGCCCCGTCCTGAGACCCACCAGCTGCCAGGAAGGTGCTGGAGGTTTAAATAACCCAGGCCCAAGGTCGCGCCCCTCCCAAATCCCATTCACCGCGCCATGAAGGCGGCGGGTGGGCCCCGGACCTGCCCAGTCCCGGAGGCCTCCCCCCCTCGGTCTACTCACCCCGAAGGAAGCGGCCCCCGAAACCCAGCAGGCCCGGGGAGGACGGCTCACCATGTGCCCATGGCGGCCGTCCGGGATCCAGGCATGAGACGCCCCGTCCTGAGACCCACCAGCTGCCAGGAAGGCGCTGGAGGTTTAAATAACCCAGGCCCAAGGTCGCGCCCCTCCCAAATCCCATTCACCGCGCCATGAAGGCGGCGGGTGGGCCCCGGACCTGCCCAGTCCCGGAGGCCTCCCCCCCTCGGTCTACTCACCCCGAAGGAAGCGGCCCCCGAAACCCAGCAGGCCCGGGGAGGACGGCTCACCATGTGCCCATGGCGGCCGTCCGGGATCCAGGCATGAGACGCCCCGTCCTGAGACCCACCAGCTGCCAGGAAGGTGCTGGAGGTTTAAATAACCCAGGCCCAAGGTCGCGCCCCTCCCAAATCCCATTCACCGCGCCATGAAGGCGGCGGGTGGGCCCCGGACCTGCCCAGTCCCGGAGGCCTCCCCCCCTCGGTCTACTCACCCCGAAGGAAGCGGCCCCCGAAACCCAGCAGGCCCGGGGAGGACGGCTCACCATGTGCCCATGGCGGCCGTCCGGGATCCAGGCATGAGACGCCCCGTCCTGAGACCCACCAGCTGCCAGGAAGGTGCTGGAGGTTTAAATAACCCAGGCCCAAGGTCGCGCCCCTCCCAAATCCCATTCACCGCGCCATGAAGGCGGCGGGTGGGCCCCGGACCTGCCCAGTCCCGGAGGCCTCCCCCCCTCGGTCTACTCACCCCGAAGGAAGCGGCCCCCGAAACCCAGCAGGCCCGGGGAGGACGGCTCACCATGTGCCCATGGCGGCCGTCCGGGATCCAGGCATGAGACGCCCCGTCCTGAGACCCACCAGCTGCCAGGAAGGTGCTGGAGGTTTAAATAACCCAGGCCCAAGGTCGCGCCCCTCCCAAATCCCATTCACCGCGCCATGAAGGCGGCGGGTGGGCCCCGGACCTGCCCAGTCCCGGAGGCCTCCCCCCCTCGGTCTACTCACCCCGAAGGAAGCGGCCCCCGAAACCCAGCAGGCCCGGGGAGGACGGCTCACCATGTGCCCATGGCGGCCGTCCGGGATCCAGGCATGAGACGCCCCGTCCTGAGACCCACCAGCTGCCAGGAAGGTGCTGGAGGTTTAAATAACCCAGGCCCAAGGTCGCGCCCCTCCCAAATCCCATTCACCGCGCCATGAAGGCGGCGGGTGGGCCCCGGACCTGCCCAGTCCCGGAGGCCTCCCCCCCTCGGTCTACTCACCCCGAAGGAAGCGGCCCCCGAAACCCAGCAGGCCCGGGGAGGACGGCTCACCATGTGCCCATGGCGGCCGTCCGGGATCCAGGCATGAGACGCCCCGTCCTGAGACCCACCAGCTGCCAGGAAGGTGCTGGAGGTTTAAATAACCCAGGCCCAAGGTCGCGCCCCTCCCAAATCCCATTCACCGCGCCATGAAGGCGGCGGGTGGGCCCCGGACCTGCCCAGTCCCGGAGGCCTCCCCCCCTCGGTCTACTCACCCCGAAGGAAGCGGCCCCCGAAACCCAGCAGGCCCGGGGAGGACGGCTCACCATGTGCCCATGGCGGCCGTCCGGGATCCAGGCATGAGACGCCCCGTCCTGAGACCCACCAGCTGCCAGGAAGGTGCTGGAGGTTTAAATAACCCAGGCCCAAGGTCGCGCCCCTCCCAAATCCCATTCACCGCGCCATGAAGGCGGCGGGTGGGCCCCGGACCTGCCCAGTCCCGGAGGCCTCCCCCCCTCGGTCTACTCACCCCGAAGGAAGCGGCCCCCGAAACCCAGCAGGCCCGGGGAGGACGGCTCACCATGTGCCCATGGCGGCCGTCCGGGATCCAGGCATGAGACGCCCCGTCCTGAGACCCACCCAAAGATATATTTTTTTAAAAGATTTATTTATTGGAAAGTCAGATATACAGAGAGGAGGAGAGACAAAGATTTTCCATCTGATTCACTCCCCAAGTGGCTACAGTGGCTAGAGCTGCACTGATCCAAAGCCAGGAATCTGGAGCCTTTTCCAGGTCTCCCTTGTGGGTACAGGGTCCCAAGGCTTTGGGCCATTCTCGACAGCTTTCACAGGCCACAAGCAGGGAGCTGGATGGGAAGTGGGACTACCGGGATTAGAACCGACGCCATATGGGATCCTTGTGCGTGCAAGGTGAGGACTTTAGCCACTAGGTCACTGTGCCGGGCCCACAGATACATTTTTTTAAAAAGATATATTTATTTATTTGAGGTGAGAGAGGGAGAGACAGATCTTTTATCTGCTGGTTCTCTCTGAAAGCACCAGGCAGGCCTGGGCTAGGGTTGGGACCGGAGATAGGAGCTTCAGGAGCTTTTTCTGAGTTTCCCATGTGGGTGCAGGAGCTCAAGACCTTGGGCCATCCTTGGCTGCTTTCCCTGGCTGTGAGCAGCGAGCTGGAGCAAATGAAATGAAGCACCCGTATGAGATGACAGTGTCACGGCTGCTGCCTTTACCTGCTGTGCCACCAGGCCAGCCCTCAAGATGAATCTTGTAAAAAATATCTGCAGTTGTGAACTGGGCAGAACGCCTGAGTTCTGGTATGTAATGTACGCCAATAGAAACAGGCCAACCACAGTTTGAGCCAAAGGCAGGAAGGGATTTGTATTTGGTGAGCTAAGCTGGGGACGAGATTATCATGGGACCAAAACCTAGTGTTCTTAAGTAGAAAGTGACAGGTTTTCTGGGGCTCACCCTTTGACGAGGCATACCAACTCATCAAGTTTCGGGGAATGTCCTGGGAGAGCTGTACTGATTTCAAAGGAGGCAGGCACCTGTACTCGCTGAGGTGTGTGCATTTGGGACTGACTGAGTTTTTGACATGGCTGTGAAGCAGTTTTTGGCTCTCTGTATCAGAAGTGCAGGTGGAGGTAGCAAGCCCCTGAGTCGACCCCTTGACAAGGTGCGTGGCAGCCACTGTGAGTGCCTAGTTGTCAGCCGTAGGTCTGCAAGGCCACCTGCATGCCTAATCTATACTCGGATACAGCCAGGGTTAGGATGCTTGCCTTAGGAGAGTGTCGGGGTGTGGGGCGTGGCACAGTGAGTTGGGACCCCCGACGTCTCCTATCAGAACACATGGAGTGGTGTCCCACCTCTGCTTCCAGCACGACTTCCTGCTGGTGCGTCTGGGAGACGGCAGGCGATGCCCAAGCCCTTGGAGCCGCTGCCGATCAATAAATACATCTTGAGCGTTGGAATTCTGTGAGATGGCACTGATGTTTTACTGAATTTTATTTCTCCTTTCTCAGAAGTATTGCTCAACAAAGTTCTGTAACGGAGAGTGTCTTTGTTTTTCCTTTTTTAAGGAAGAGTACGCTCCCGAGGTCTGTGTAACTCACTAAGTTGTCCGCAGGACTCGGCACTTTTTAAACAAATTGTGCGCACCTGTCATGGCGACTTGACATTCTCAGCTCCCCTTTCTTGTTTGCAGACCTGCACGGACGGGAAGACGCAGCCCAGGACACGGGCCCCCGCGTGGCTGCGGCGTCTCTGCGGACAGCTGCTCTCCGAAAGGCTGCTGCGGCCCAGCGGCGTGCAGGCGGTGGTCCGGGGCATCCTAGAGGGAGCAGGCGGTAAGAAGTGTGGTCTCTGTCCGTTTGAATTGGAACCTGAGGTGGGTCATGATATTCCACATTGGCGAAAACCTGGAGGCTGTTTAGTGAGCTGCTTTTTGGGAAGAAACTCATTTTCTATTTTTCCACTTTCTTAAAAGTAGGCCGGCTCAGTGGTAGAGTGGTTTTGAGAACTGGCTGCTACATTTCCATTCCAACTCCAGAGACTGACCCAAGTCCTTGGGTCCTGGCACTCCTTTGGAGAGCGGAAGAAGCTCTTGGCTTTGGACCAGCCGGCTCTGACTGTTGCTGCCATTTAGGGAGTGAACCAGTGGATGGAGGAACTGCTTTGTCTCTCTCTCCATAACTGCTTTTCTAATAAAAATAAATCTTGAAGTATTATTAAAGACTTTTGTAAAGGAGTCTTTTGATTGTTTCCTTAAAGTTTATTTATTTGAAAGAGTGACAGAGAAGGAAGGGGGAGACCGAGATCAATCTCCCGTCCTCTGATTCACTCTCCAGGTGCCCGCCATGGCCTGGGCTAGGCCAAGCAAGCCACGAGTCCTGAATTCCATCTGGGTCTGCTACGTGGGGCAGGGACCAGCTAGGGACCCCAGTCTGCGGCAGGGACCCCAAGACTTAAACTGTCTCCTGCTGCCTCTTAGGGTGTGCTATAGCAGGGGGTGGCATTGGGAGCCTTGCTGGCACTTTAACCCAGGCACTCCACGAGGAACGCAGGTGTCCCAATTGGTGTCCTCATCTCCTACCTTGCCTGATTTGGGGAATCATTTAAGGTGATTAGTTTGGTGCTTCTTCCTGTGTTGCTGTGCTGCTGGTTGAAGGCAGTTTTAATGGAATGAGCGCCGAGAAGCAGAAGGGCACTCAGCATTGAGAAGCTAATGTCCCGATCATACTGGGGTTACTGAGGTGGCGACATGCCAGCTCTCCTCTGGTCTTGATGTGTCACAAGCAAAGTCCAGAGAAGGAGGGCCTCTTACTAGAGACCAGCACATCTCCGTTGGGAAACGAAGCCCTTCTTGGCTGAGTTTTAAGGTCCGTTTTTCCCATGGGGCTTTACACGGGGCGCCGCCATGAGTGTTTGACGCCTCTCTCCCCTTGGCAGCTGGAGCAGCCGGAGGGAGTGACGCTGAGGCAACTGCCGCGGACTGGAAGAAGTGTGACCTGATTGCAAAGATTTTGGCCTCTTGTCCCCAGCAGTCTCTTTCCCCAGAGAGTTACTACAGGGACATCTGCCCCCAGGTAAGTGCTGCGTGTGTGGCTTTGTGGGGTCGTCCACTTGCTTGCGGTGGAGAGCCCGCATTGCTCCTTGTTGGAGACAAGCAGGGCGGTAGTGAAGCTTGCTGTTCAGTGGGGGGCCCCCTTCTGTCTTGATTTTGAAAGGCAGAGACGGAGCGCGCCCTCTGCTGGCGCACTCCCCAGATGATTGCAGCAATGGCGCCTGGCCCAGGGACTCAATACCGGATCTCCCACACAGGGACAGGAACCCAGTGACCTGAATCCTCCCCAGTCCCTCCTGCTGTATTGGCCGAAAGCTGGAGTCAGGTGTCAGAGTGAGACTCAAAACCAGCGACTCTGCTAAGGGATGTAGGCATCTTCTTGTTTGTTTGAAAAACTTATTTATTTGAAAGGCAAAATCACACATTCTCTCTCTCTCTCTCCGCCCCCCCCCCCCATCCTGTGGTCCACTCCCCAAAGGGCTGCAATGGCTTTGGCGAAGCCGGATCAAAGCCAGGAGTTAGGAGCTTCTTCTAGGTGTCCCATGGACTGCAGAACGGTTCCTCAGTCCTCCATTAGTACCCCAGGTGCATTACCAGTGAGCTAGAACAGAAGTGCAGCATCTAGGACTTGAACCAGCACCCATATGACATAGCAGGACTGTAGGTAATTGGTTAATTTGCTATGCCACATTGTCTGTGGCATTTTTTGTAAGAACTGTTTACTTGAAAGAGCAGCATATCAAAACGCATGCACCAAAAGAGACGGATCTTCCTTCCATTGCTTTTTTTCTTCACATAACTTTAGTTTGGCCATTAAAGGCAAGAGCCCGGAAGTCTAGCCTGGTCTCGCATATGGTGACAGGGATCAAATACTTTGGTTACAGTTGTTGCCTCTTGGGACACCTACTGGCAGGAAACTGGATCAGAAACAGAGTAGCCAAGCCTCTCACAACAGCCTAGCAGCTAAATCCTCACCTTGCATGCCTGGGATCCCATATGGGCACCAGTTTGTGTTCTGGCTGCTCTAATTCCCATCCAGTTACCTGCTTGTGGCCTCCTTGCAATAGAGGATGGCCCAAAGCCTAGGGACCCTGTGTCCACATGGGAGACCCAGAAGAAGCTCCTGCCTGGCTCCTGGCTTTGGATTGGCTCAGCTCTGGCCATTGTGGCCACTTGGAGAGTGAACCAGTGGATGGAAGATCTTTCTTTTTCTCCTTCTCTCTGTAAATCTGCCTTTCCAATAAAGGTAAATAACTCTTTAAAAAAAAATTTCCAGGTCCACATGGTAGCCTTGTTCACACTGGGATCCCACATGGGTGCCGGCTCTAATCCCATCAGCTCCATTTCCCACCCAGCTCTCTTGCTTCTGGCCTGAGAAAACAGTCTAGGATGGCCCAAGGCCTTGGGATGCTGCGCCCGCATGGGAGACCCAGAAGAAGCTCCTGGCTCCTGGCTTCACTTCAGATTGGCTCAGCTCTGGCAGTTGTGGCCGCTTGGGGAGTGAATTAGCAGACAGGATCTTCCTCTGTCTCTTCTCCTCTCCATATATCTGACTTTCCAATACAAATAAATATATCTTTAAACATAAAATATTTAATAAAAGAAGAAGAAATGGAATAGCCAGGTAGTGAACCAGGCATTCTGATATGGGGTATGAACATTCGAAGTGGGGTCCTCATTGCTGTGCCACTCGGCTGTCGCAAATGTTTTTGAGGCTAAAATAGGCTCTTATGTGGGACAGTCCAGGCAGAGCTGTCTTTGAGCCGCTAATTTCATTTGGCAGTGTGATGTATAATGACAAAAATTTGAAGGAAAAGCAATGTGAAGAAATTAGGGAATAAAGTAATACATTCTTACCAACAGTTTGAAAATGGTTATTTTTGAGGAATTAATAACAATATGAGAAGGCTTTAGCAATATATAAGTCAATGTTGTATGTGATTTCAATTTAAAGATCAATTTTTATAAAGATTTATTTATTTTCATTGGGAGGATAGATTTACAAAGAGACAGAAAGATCTCCCATCCAGTGGTTCATTCCACTGCAGCAGCTGGAGCTGAGCTGATTCGAAGCCAAGAGCCTCGTGCTTCTTTCAGGTTTTCCATTTAGATTTAGTAATATTTGGGAATCTTTTGTACTTGGGCCATCTTTTTGCTGTTTTATCCGAAACATTATTAGGAAGCTGGGTATGAAGTGGAGCAGCCAGGACTCTAGCTGGCAGCTGTATGAGATGCTGGCACCACAGGTGGTGGCCACAGCACTGGCCCAAGAAAAATAATTTTTTTTTAAAGATTTATTTTTATTGCGAAGTCAGATACACAGAGAGAAAGACAGAGAGGAAGATCTTCCATATGATGATTCACTTCCCAAGTGACTGCAATGGTCGGTGCTATGCTAATCTGAAGCCAGGAGCCAGGAGCTCTTCTGGTCTCCCAAATGGGTGCAGGGTCCCAAGGCTTTGGGCCGTCCTCGACTGCTTTCCCAGGCCACAATCAGGAAGCTGGATGGGAAGCAGAGCAGCTGGAACTAGAACTGGCGCCCACGTGAGGTCCTGGCACGTTCAAGCGAGAACCTCAACTGCTAGGCCATGGCCCAAGAAAAAAATTTTACAGAGAATATATTGGAAATACATACACCAAAAGCATTCATGGTGATTGAAGAAGACTGTTAAAGCTTAAAATGGCATTGTGGTGCTGTGGATTAAGTCTTTGCTTGAGTATCACAGCTGTTATCCGAATGCCAGCTTATATCCTGACTGCTTGCAATCTAGCTTCCTGCTAACATGTTTTCAAAGTGTGTGCATGTGGCCTGAGTGCTGGGACTGCCATGTGGGAGGCTGATGGGGTGCTGGGCTTCTGGTTTCCACTGACCAAGATCTGGCCATTTGAAGTCAGAACCAGCAGATGAAAGCTCTAGTTCTCTGTCTTTTCTTCTCTCTCTGTTACTCTGCTTTGTGGATAAATAAAATCTAAAAACCAAACAACGAAATAAAAGCTAATAGTAAGGGTTTCATTTTTTTGTAATATTGATAAAAATATTCAGCACAAACTACAGCTTCCTCAGCTCTCCTGCCTTTTAATGTTGAAATTCCAAGCATACATTGTGGTGTAGTGTGTTAAGCTGCTGCTTGTGATACCCCATCCCACAGAAGCGTAGGCTTGAGTCCAGCTGCTCCATGTCCAGTTTAGCTCTCCTCTAATGTACCTGTGGAAGTTGTGGGAGATGGCCTAAGTCCTTGGGTTCCTGCGTAACTCTGAACAGAGTTACAGGCTGCTGCCTGTATCCTGGCCTAGCCCTGACCATCGCAGCCATTTGGGGAGTGAACCAGCAGATGGAAGACTTTGCCTGTCTTTCCCTCTCTCCTGGTAATCCTGCCTTTCAAATAAATAAGTCTTTGGAAAAAATTCTGCCAAGTTGTTGTTACAGTAAGTTCCTTTTGGGAGGCTTAAAGCAATGAATGCTTTTTCTTCTAGATTCTGGACTTATTTCACTTTCAAGATAAGTTGACGGCACGACAGTTTCAGAGAGTTGCCACCACGACCTTTTTAACCATGTCGAGAGAATGCCCTCAACTGGCAGCAAAACACCTGCTCCGGCCGATGTTGGCGCCTCTTCACCGATGTGTGAATATAGCAGGTGAGGGGGACACGGGGAGCTGGCTGGCTCTCCTCTCACTGTCTTCCACACGTCAGGTTGCAACTGATTTAGGTCTGTTGTGGCTCATTATCTTACAGATTCACTTTTCCCCTCAGCTTTCTACATTGAAGAGTTTACTTCATAGAAGTTTGAAGAAAAATTCTTTAGGTCAGACATAAACCACTTCCTTTAGGTCGACCAGCTGTTCACATTCTGGCCACCTTGCTTTCTCTTTCCACACATGTAAACCTGCTTTTCCTCAGACTCTTGAGAGTTGACTGTAGCTCTCTGGACATTTCAGCATGCATTGTTTCCAAAGAAAAATGTCAGTATCTTGAATTGTTCCATATACTTTCTTTTATAACTAAGTGAAAATTTTTTTTTTGTTATTTGAGAGGAGAGAGACAGAAAGAGACAGGCGTCTCCCATTGGTTCACTCTCCAGATCCCTGTAATGGCCAGGCTGAGTCAAAGAGCTGGGCACAAAATGCAGGTCTCCCATTTGGCTGGCAGGAACCAGACTACTTGCACTGTCACCTGCCACCTTCCAGGATGCACATTAGTGGAAAGCTGGAATTGAGAGAGAGCTGGGACTCAACCCTGGGCACTTCAGAATGGGATGGGGTACCCCAAGCAGTGGCTTCATTTACTAAGCGAAAGGTGGAATGTCTGTCCCCATAGCTGTTTATTTTGTTGAAAGGTAAGGAGACAGAGACAGACAGACAGATCTCCCCTGCACAGGTTCATTCCCCAAATGCCTGTAGCAGACAGGGCTGAGTTGGGCTGAAGCCCGGAGCCAGAGCTCAGCCTGGGTCTCCCATGTGGGCAGCAGACACCCAACTGTCAGCAGAGATGGATGGAATGGTTTCTTGTCGTTGAACAAACAGACATCTGAGAGAGCATACCATGTCCCTCGGACTGGGAAGGCAAGGTGACATGGCTTCATGGAGAGGATGCACCTGGCAGGCCATGTGGGTGGCACGGGAAAGTGCAGAGCATGGAGGGTGCGGTTTGCGTTCGGGGCTGATGAGGGAACGGGCTCCTGTTCTTCCCGCTGTCCCACCCCACCCCCCTTCTCCAAGAGTGGGGTGTAGGGCCCGGCGCGGTGGCGCAAGTGGTTAAAGGTCCTCGCCTTGCACGCCCGGGATCCCATATGGGCGCCGGTTCTAATCCCGGCAGCCCGGCTTCCCTTCCAGCTCCCTGCCTGTGGCCTGGGAGGGCAGTCGAGGACAGCCCAAAGCTTTGGGACCCTGCACCCGCGTGGGAGACCCGGAAGAGGCTCCTGGCTTCGGATCAGCATAGCATTGGCTGTTGCGCTCACTTGGGGAGTGAATCATTGGACGGAAGATCTTCCTCTCTGTCTCTCCTCTCTGTATATCCGCCTTTCCAATTAAAAAAAAAAAAAGAATAATAATAAAAAAAAAGGAATTGAAGTTGAAAGGCCTGGCATAATCGCCCAGTGGCTTATTCCTCCCCTTGCATATGCCAGGGCCCCATGTGGGCATCAGTACTGGCTGCTCCACTTCCCTTCCAGCTCCTTGCTTGTGGCCTGGGAAAGCAGTTGAGGATGGCCCAGAGCCTTGGGACCCTTTACCCACGTTGGAGACCTGGAGGAGGCTCCTGGTTCCTGGCTTTGGTTTGGCTCAGCTCCAGCAGTTGCAGCTACTTGGGAAGTGAATTAACAGATGCAGGATCTTTCTCTCCTTTCTGTGGATCTGCCTTTCCAATTATAAGTAAATAGATTAATTGAAGTTCTAGAGGCTGGCATTGTGGCACAGCAGGTGATGCCACTGACACGTGAGTGCTGGTTTGAGTCTTGGCTTCTCCACCCCTAATCCAGCTCTCTTGTAATACCCTGGGGAAAGCATGAAAAGGCGGCCCAAGTCCTTGGTTCCCTGTCGTTGATGTGGGAACCCAAATGAAGCTTCTGGTTATTGGCTTCAGCTTGGCCCAGCTTCGACCCTTACAGCCATTTGGGATGTGAAACAGCAGATGAAAGATCTCTTTGTCTTCCCTTCTGTTTGTAACTCTGCCTTTCAAACGAATATATCTTTTAAGAACAAATACTATAGTTAAAACAAATTTAGTTCTGTGTAGACTTTTTGTGGAAGTCACTTGCGGTAAGGATTTTTCTAGAATGTGTATAAGGTGGCTATGTAGAAAGTAATCGTGCTTAGTAAGACTTCCCCAATTGGGCCCGGGTGAAGGGAAATGCTATGTGGTATTTCAGTAAATAATCGAAATTCCTTTATACTTTTGATAGAAATCTTGTTTAGAATCAGCCTTCTGTCCAATAAGCAAATTATTATTTCAGGAATAAGGTCTAGCACTTCATTTGTCTAATTTCTTGTGTTACTCTGAGTGTGTGGTGCTGTGGGGGAGGTGTTGCTTGGTCTTCCCACTTCCCATTTAGGACTGCCTGATTTACTTTCCAGTGACCTTGCTTCCAACTAATGGGAAAGTAGCAGACAATGGCTCAAGTACTTGGGTTCTTTCCCAGGAGACCATGTTGTGCAGTGGCAGTCATACTGGCTTTCTGGTTAATGATTTCTAAATCCTCTAATGATTCCTGGGCCAGTGCGATGGCTCAGTGGCTAAAATCTTCACCTTGCAAGCACCAGGATACCATATGGATGCTGGTTCGTGTCCTGGCTGCTCTACTTCCCACCCAGCTCCCTACTTATGGTCTGGGAAAGCAGTGGAGGATGGCCCAAAGCCATGGAACCTTGCATCTGTGTGGGAGACCTGGAAGGAGCTCCTGGCCTCTGGCTTTTGATCAGCTCAGCTCCAGTTGTTGTGGTCACCTGGTGAGTGGGAGTGAATCAGCGGTTGGAGAATATTTCTGTCTCTTCCTTCTCTCTGTAAATCTGTCCAATAAAAATAAATAAGTCTTTAAAATATGACTCCTTAGGCTTAATATCTCCTGTATGATGAGGTGCTGAATGTGTGTAATTTTGGTTTTCATTTTTTAGAGATTCCAGAGAGTGATATGATACCAGGGACCATTTTGGTAACAGAAGAAGAACTTAGTAGATGTATTGAAGATGTGTTTAAGGTTAGTAATTCAACTTACCAATGTTTTTACCTAATACTCGGATCTGAACCTATAAAATAATTTTGCCTTTTAGCTGTTGTTTTAGGAACTGGAATGATTAAGTTTCAAGCTGTGACATCTTTTCAGTTTGAAAGCTAGAAACTAATCTGATTTCTTTGGGGAACAAACTTGAATAAATTTAATACCCTGTACATTTCATCATTTGACTATTACAATGATTTAGATTCTCTTAATGGCATATCCAACTGGGAAAAGCATCTTTCAAAGAAATTAGCAGAGGTGTATTCAGTACTGATGGCTTTCCAAAAGTGTGCTAATGTTGAATCTACTTTGTAACTTTTTTTTGGAAAAGAGTTTATTTGTTTATTTGAAAGTGAGAGCAGAGAATAGGAGAGACAGATCTTCTGTCTGATGGTCCACTCCCCAGATGGTTGCAACGGTTCAGGCCAGAGCTGCTTCTGGTCATCCCACATGGGTGGTTGGGGCTCAGTTTCTTGGGCCATCATCCACTGCTTTCCCAGATGAATCAACAGGATGCTGGATTAAAAGTGGAGTAGCTGGGGCCCAGCACGGTAGTCTAGTGGCTAAAGTCTTCACTTTGTATACCTTGGGATCCTATAAGGACACCGGTTCATATCCCAGCTGTTCCATTTCCTTTCCAGCTCCCTGGGAAGGCAGTAGAGGATGGCCCAAAGCCTTGGGACCCTGTACTCACATGGGAGACCTGAAAGAAGTTCCTGGCTTCAGATTGGCTCAGCTCTGGCTGTTCCGACCATTTGGGGAATGAGCCAGTGGATGGAAGATCTTCTCTCTGTAAATCTGACTTTTCAACAAAATAAAAAAATCTTAAAAAAAAAAGTGGAGTAGCTGGCCCTTGAACAGTGCTGTAATTTGGAATGCTAACATGGCAAGTAGTGGTTTAACATGCTGAACCATTGCCAGCCTCTACTTTATACCTTTGGATAGTAATTACCATAAAGAAGTGTGAGGAAGTTAATCCTGCAAATTATTATCTGAATATATGATAAAAATTAGGGAATATGGGAATATGTAATTAATATGTTCTCAATCTCTTCTTAAAAAATTATATTTGTTTGACGAAGGAGGAGTTACAGCAAGAAAGAAGAGGAAAGAGAGTGTGAGATCTTCCATCTGATGATTCACTTTCCAAATGGGCAGTGGGGCTGAAACCAGGAGCCAGGAGCTTCATCTAGATCTTCCACCTGGGTATAGGGACCTACACTTGAGCCATCCTCCTGTTTTCCCAGGAGCATTAGCAGGGAGCTGGATCAGAAGTGGAGCAGTCGGGACTTAAACTAGTGCCCATATGGGATGTCAGCATTGCAGGCGGCAGCTTAACTAGCTGTGCTAAAATGCTAGATCCTATAGTTGTAATCTTACACACACAAATATATGTGTAAAATTATTCTAGACAAAAAATGAAATCTATTTTTGATGGGCCCAATTGTCAGAGCTGGGGGTAAATGCTTTTTAAAGTGTATTTTAATAAATTCATGCTAATTTTTACTATTAAAAATATTTATATTGGTAAATAGCATTCAGAATTATATTCCTTATAAAATGATGCATTGGCTGTTTCCCATATGGTGAAATATGAAGTTAACATATTAGCCCGTAATTTCCAGATGTATACTCGAGGGGAAATACATGCAGGGGCTGGCATAAGGAGGTGAAGGCCATCGCCCATGACAATGACATCCCGTATAGTGCCCGTTTGAGTCTCATCTATTCCATTTCCAATCTAGCTTCCTGTGAATGTGCCTGGGAAGGCAGCATAAATGCTTAGGCCCCTGCACCCACGAGGGAGACATTGCAGAAGCTCCTGGCTTCAGATTGGCCTAGCTCTTGCAGGCATTTGGAGAGTAAACCAATGCATGGACCATCTGTCTCTGTCTCCTTTTCTCTCTGCTTGTAACTCTTCCTTTCAAATAAATAAATCAGATTTAAATATACACACACACGTACAGCCACACACCCCAAATGGATATGAAATAGTGTATCTTCCCATTACCACTCCCACAAAAGGGGAGGAAAACCCGGGGAGGAGAACCCAGCGAGGCTGGTCAGCCGTTAATTTACAACCTCCTACTGTAGACACTTGATGAAACACCGAGTGTTGATTATTCTGGAAGCCAGGAGGGGCGCCGGGGGTAATTATTCTCCCTCTGAGGTTTTGGCAGCCCAGCTGCAGTTGGAAAACAGAGGAAATGTGTATGTTGGAGAAAAATGGTAAACACTGTGTAGAATTTAGCAACAAAGGATGTGTTGTGTTCATTAACTCTCTGCTAATACTAAATTATAGAGTACGGCTCAAACGCAGGAAATAAGCAAAACATCTGGGCTGGGTGAATTGATCCAGCAACTTGCTGGGTAACGAGGATGTTTAATTTTAGAGAGGCATTTAGGAACGCTTCCAGGTTTTTTTTTTTCTTCCCTACCCCACCTTTTTTTATTAGCCGACTCGTTGAGACTGAATTTATATTATAGTTTTTCTATTAAAAGAGTATAATTCAGTGATTTTAAATAGTTGTAGGGTTTTGCAACCATCATCGCTATTTTAAAATATTTTTTTGCAAAACTCCCCCTTCCTGCAGAAACCCCACATCCCGTTAATGGTCTTACCCCGTTCTCTGCTGCTAGATGTGGGCAACCACCACTCTGTTTTCTGTATCTCTAGGTTTAACTGCTCTGGACTTTTCCCTTAAGTTAATACAATATGTTGTCTTAGCATGAGGTTTTTATATCATATCAAAGCATGAAGTGGTATTTCAGTCCCTTGTTTACCAAGTGGCATTGCATTGGATGGACCGTATTTTGTTTATTCGTCTGTTAATGTGTATCCAAAATACATATCTTTCATCTGCTGGTTGACTCCTCACATGCCCACAGTAGCCAGAGTTTGGGCTAGATCCAAAATCCAGAAACTTCTGGGTCTGCCATGTACGGGAGCAGGAACCCGAGTCCTCAGGTTATCATCCATAGCCTTCCTGGCACACTAGTAGGAATCTGGGTCCCTGAGGAGGGACTCGATCTCAGGCACTGTGATGTGGTATGTGGGTGTCCCAAGCAACAGCCCCAGCACTGTGCCACAGCGTCTGCCCCATCTGGCTCTTACGTTCCTGTGGCATAGAAATTGATGTACTGATTTCTGTGTGTGTGTGTTCTAATTTCTCTTGAGTGCATGCTGAACAGTGGAATTGTGGGATCATACAGAGCCCTGTGTGCCCTTTTAAAGGACCGACCAAGCTCTTTTCCCCAAAGTACACCATTCCGTGTTGCACCTGCAGTGTGTTAAGGTTTGTTTCCTTACATCTTGGTCTTTTTGATTGTAGCCATCCTACTGAGTGGGATCTCACAACGTTTTAATGTATCTTTCCCGGATGGCTAATGTTGCAAAACTGCCTTTTCATGTGCTTCCTGCCCATTCTGCATTGTCCTTGAGGGAAATGTCTGTGTCCTTTGCATTGTTAAGTTGGTTATTTGTGTCTTTTTTTTTTTAACCTATGGGTTGAAGACTGGGACTCCTGACTCCAAGATCCTTCTTGCTAGTCGGTCTCCTCACAAGGCTTTCCCTGCCCTCCCCCTGCAGGGGGCGTGTTCGTGGTCACCAGCCTGTTTGCACATTTACCTGGCATCCTGCTTTGCACCTTGAAATCTGATTTATCTTGATGCCTGATGCTTTGCATGTCATTTCTAGTCTGACATCCTTTGCGTATATGCTATTCCAGCCCCCTCCAGCTACTGACTTTTGAGCTGTGCACTGCCCCAGGGCCCCTTCGTTCTTTGGAGCCACCTGCTTCTTTACTTTGTACACAGTCCTGGTCAGCCTGCTTGTCTCATCTAATTTTTTTTTTTCTCCAAAGATATACAGAGAGGAGAAAAGATGGAGAGGAAGATCTTCCATCTGATGATTCACTCCCCAAGCAACCACAATGGCCAGAGCTGAGCTGATCTGAAGCCAGTAGCCAGGAGCTTCCTCCAGGTCTCCCACGTGGGTGCAGGCTGGTGTGGCAGTGTAGTAGACTGATCCTTTGCTTGCAGCACTAGCATCCCATTTGAGTGCTGGGTCAAGCCCCAGCTACTTTACTATCGGTTCAGCTCTCTGCTTATGGCCTGGGAAGGCTAAGGAAGATGGCTCAAGTGCTTGAGTCACTGCACTCAGGTGAGAAACCCAGAAGCAGCTCCTTGCTTCTCATCAGTCCAGCTGTGGCTGTTGTGACCTTCCAGGGAATGATCAAGCAGATGGAAAATCTCTTGTTCTCTTTCTCTGTGTCTTCCTGTTTGTCTCTGTAACTCTGAATTTCAAGTAAAATATATCTTTTTTTTTTTTTAAAAAAAAAGGTGGTTTAATGAGAGCACATTAGTACTTCCACGGCTGCACTTTCCATCCTGTGAGCGGCGTCTGCTGGTGGGAGCAGTTTCCAGGCTTCTGCACACACTGCTGGGGTGGAGCAGGTGGTTGGGAGAGCCCTGGCTCTGCAGAAGAGGAGACGGCATAGCATGGGTGTGTCAGTGGGAGCTAGTGAAATGCAGTGAGAACTTGGTGTTGCTGTTTGTGGCTCCACCACATAAATAATTCTCCTTATCTCCGTGTGTGTACCCTCTGTTAGAATTATCTTAGCACAAAGGGGCCATGCAGCTCCAATAACCTTCCATCTAGTGCTTCTCTGCTGTCTCTCCCATGACTCGGTGTCTGGGTCTGTTCCCTAGGATGCCTAAGATCTTTTGTCCTTTCTGGAAGGGGAGAAAGTTAGGGTGTATGTTTTCCTGCAGAGTTGGAGAAAGGCCCAGTGTATGCACATGGATTCTTTGGAGCCTGAGTGGGACAACTGCAGCTCTGTTGCATTCATTTATTTATTTATTTTATTTCGTTTATTTAAAATGCAGGGAAACAGAGGCTTCTGGTCCGCTGCCTCATTCCCCACATACCTGTGACGGCCTGGCCCAGGCTGAAACCAGAGGCCAGTTCTTCAGTTTTG